ATTTGTTTCTTTTTATATTAAATTATAATAATAATTGAGAACATCTGCTGAAGATGTCCTAAATACTCTTCTTCTTTTTAAGAGACAACAGAAGTTATGTTGAAAAGTCATCATCTGAAATTAACACAGAATTTAATATAATTTAATACATTTATTGAATTAATTTAATGGGGGTTTTTTTTTAGACCCACACCATACAACTGAAGGTTTTTCCTCATATCCCTGACAGACACATCCAGTGTATTATTTTTGTGATAAACTGACAGAGTAGAGGAGATCTGATGGTCTGAGATCAGCAGTGATGCAGCTGCAGAACAGACCTGCTCCGTCAGTGGAGTTCTTTGTTTGAATATGAAGGAAAACCTGTAGAAGTGTAATGTTATGATGCTTTTCATGCAGTACCATTCAGGGAGTCTTTGTAAGGCAGTTTTCAATCATTTATAAACTGTTTAAGTAGAAATGAAATAAACCACTGCTACCAACGGTTGCCAAGCACAACACCAGGGACGTTACACAAGATTTTCAATTGTTAAACAAGGAAAACACAATGATGGCATTTTTCCTGAAGATGCCATTTCTCCAGGTCAGAACCAAGAAACCTCAAAGACACTCAAGTTGGCAGTAGCCCACAACCTAGTGGTTAAAGGAGCAGGTTTATAATGTGAGGGTTTCCGTCCCTGACCCTGTAGGACCGGGGTGTTAGAACTAAACACTCCCTGCAGCCAAGGGTGAAATACTGGACCTCCTGCCGTACTGTATGGATGTTGCAGACGACAGACTGCTGTCCGTACATCATCAGTCTTTTTCAAACTGGTCCAAACAGAAGTCGACTTGACATCTTTTCTCCAGTGTGGAAACAAAACTTTCCACGTAGCCGAATCTTAAATGTCATTCAGATGTTTTTCCACGTGGGCCTCGAAGCTCAGGACAATCCTGGAGCTTAGGCTGTCAGAGTGAGTCATCTTCTCGTTCCAATCCCCGAACAGATTTTTGTGTGTTTATGTGGTGAAAGCATCTTTTTTTAATAACTACTGAATTTGGAGCAGACTCCATATTCCCTTTTCATTATGTTTTGAATTTATGTCCGTCTTTGAAGCCTTTGTCAGTTTGTGATTCACTGCATGTTTAAATGCACCAGTGTGTACCAGTAAAAGGAGAAAGCTCTCTAATTATTGCTGCAGTAGTGGTGGTGGTGGTGGCAGCGTTTGTAGTGGTCAGAACAGCATCAAACACACGGACATCATTTTACTGCTTAATTCTAATATTTAACAAATTTTTTAATTTTTAACAAAAAATATATTGGGAAAGACTTTGGAGCGTCTCATTATCTGGTCTGACTAAAGTAAAGGAACAGTTTACTGTCCTCACCACTAAGTTACATAATCACATTAGAGACCCATCACTATTTAAAAGGCGGCTGGTGATATATGGTGTTGTGACAGAGGACAGCCAGGATGGTAAATTCCATCGCAGAGCTGCAGCTGCCAGCATAAATAAAAATATTGTGTTATTTTTTCCTGAGAATGATTTACAACGAAGAGCAATGGAAAGATGAAAACCAGTGGGACGAAGCAGAGTAACAAACAGAAAAGTGGGATTTTCTTTTTTTTATATAGTGAAGAAATGTCTTTTTGCAGTGTTCGGTTCAGGAGTTTTACCTCTGGTAGAACACGTTTTTACACACATTTTGATTTCGTAAGAACATGGAATAGACAATGTTTCTAGTCTTAGAGAATGGAAACAGTCTAAACCCAGTCGTGGACTTGTGTACAATCAAGGTAAAGTGCAAATAAACAAATGGCGTGTTTTTAGACTGAGAGTAAACCATCTCACACATGGAGTAAACATGCAAACTCCAAACCAGCTGGGTTCAAACTAGTGGACAGCACCACCTAGAGCCCATAAATATAAGATTATCCTAATAAATACATCTGTAAATATTTGTATCAACGACAGTTGAAGTGTTGGTTTCTGACAGACTTCAGTGGTGACAGCTGTGCTGTGGTTGAGTACCTCCACTGTGACACATGTGAAGGGGGCGAGGAAGCATCTTTGCTGAGGCAGCATAGTGTGTTCTTCCACATGAAAGTCAATCCAAGTCCACAGGTCTGTCATCACGATGCCTTCACAGGCCTGTGAGCAATCTGATCTGCTTACACTGTCCTCTGCTCATTCCAAAAAGACAACACCACAAGTGAGTGGGTTGGTTGGTTCAGACGTCACACTCCAACCACCACTCCCAAAACATAATTTATGGTTCTCAGAGAGACAGAAACAACTTTTTTTTTCTTCACCCCTCCTCCAGACAATGGTCAGACTGGTTGTCTGAATGTCATTTTAAATGTAACTACATTTGTAAACAGACATCCAACCACTATCCTGACTGGTGACCATGTACTACAAATTACCCCAAAGAAATTGAGTTTGTTTTCGAATATCATGATGACATAAGTGAATTAAAAAAAAAAAAACAGTTGGATAATGGACAATATTATTACAGAGTAAAATGTGCTCACAGAAAAATCGTCATCGTTACCCGGTAAAAAAAAATAAAAAAGAGAGAGACTTGAATCACTGTTCCTGTTTCAAACTGGTATGATATAACGCATACACAGCCTTTCATGGTTTATTCAAAGATAAAAACGTAGGAATGGCTAACCGAGTTGTTCTTTGCAGTTCTTACCACGCAGTTGATCCAGCTCTCAGAGAAAAGGTCATCGATTACTGTAAGAACCCAGTTCTGTCTGGGAACCAAACCTTTTCCCAGAGCTGACACACACAAAAACGACAAGGGATTTTCACTGTAGTGCATTCCGCTAAAACAAACTCATGACCCAAAGCTGAGACCAAACAGGGAGGCCCAGGGTGACATTTGTCTTGGCATGAACCTCCAGTGCTAACAGTAAGTGCAGATTGTCCACTGACATCAGAGACACTGGCAAAGGGACTTCATGGTTCTGTATCAAGCTGCTGATGAGGTTGAGTTTTGAAAAAAGAAAAACTAATTTAACAATGTTGCTGAATTGTAATTCAATATTTGAATTATTTTTTAAATGTATCTACACTCATTTATTACTGGAGACATTTTCATTTGTCAATCAGATTGGACCATTGTAACTAGAAACATTTTATGACTAAAGGCCTAGAGTTCCTACTGTACTGTACATATACCTGTTTTCTTTAGCTGAACATCCCAGAGAAACCAGCAGAGTTGATTCATCTTTCCTGAGGTCAACAAACGCTGCAGATGAAAACACAAAGACATGCATTTACAGGCAGAAGTTTTTTGCAGGGCTGGAATCATCACTAGGATTTTCTAATTACAAAATATCTCAAGGTTACACAAAACACAAAACATGTCTGCACCATCGCCTGGGTTGTTTTTTATAATTGAATGTAAAGCTCTAAGTAATTCAAATCCTGTTGCACCAACAATCTCATCATCAATTAGGGTTTTTCCATTCTTGAATTATAATGTGATTAAAATCTCATATGAAAATAGATCCAGATGTTGTGGTTCCTAGCACCACCACAGTGAGTAACACTGCCCTGCCTTAGCAATTCAACCTTTATCTTGAGTGAACACCTGCTTTAACTGCATGTCCAGATTGCTAACGAATGAGATCCTGAGGGACACGGCCATTAGCTTACCACAGACTGTCTGCACTAAGACATCTAAACACAGTCTGTTTAACACAGTGAGCTCCTTGAGAATTCATTATTTGGTCCTTGTTCAACAGGACCATTTGAACGGATGCCTGACATCTGTGCTCTGCACTCTGAGATGAACTGTAATTAATAACCAAGGCATTTAGTTGAGATTAGCAGCAAGAGAAAAGAAAATCCACTTTTCTTAGAACCCAAATGATTTCCATACCTGTTGGAGTCAGATGTGATGTAGGTCTTCATTTCTACAAGATGGTGTGTGTGGAGTAAAGGATGCTGAAGGAGCGATTTACAACCTGGTCCTCCATCCAGAGAGTGTTACATAACCTAAAGCAAAACAACATTTGTCAAACCGTCCAATGACAAGGTGCTGCAGGAACACCTGGAAACAATGACGTTTGAAGTGTGACAAATGGCCGTTTAATGCACTTCTTTCCAACACACGTCTTCTTTTATCAGGATTCCTCTTCTGAATTGTCACTGTATATTTAGAAGGAATGCTCTTAAGACTCCATAAACTCTCTGGTTCAGTGTTTTTACTGTTACATTCAAAGTCAACATAATTGGAAAAAGAAAAACAAAGTTAGCCGTCAGAAAAAACACTTTCCTTATTAATCTGGAGCCGGTTTGTTTTTTGACCTCATTCACCACTGCTTTCAGGGCTGTGCAGATTCTCTATTTTTGGCATTTGCCTCTTTCTGACAACGCACTTTTCTCTGGCATTGCAGTTGCATTCAAAAGTATATGGGTTTTTTTCCCTTTTCTGCACAGAAATATTTTTTTGCATCGTTGAATTTTCACATTTACATTAAAGACCACTTCCTGCTGCAGCACGCTGCCTCACATCTACACCCAGGGTAAATGTTTATACGTTAAGTATGGATCATAGCTGTCAGGACGCAAGACTGATCGGATTAGCTCAGAGCCCAAGAAGGCTGGGGTCACTTCTTGCTCCCCAGTCTGCTAAAAACATTTTTTTTTTCTTCAGCTCTAAGAGCAACAGTTAGCACTCCTCTGGCTCATGTCCATCACCACTGGTTTGGACATTTATTTCTTGTTACATCTCCAAGCAGAAATGAAGTGATTAACTGTAGTCACAAGCTTCATCTGGTCAACCAGAGGGACCATGATGGGCAGAGGAAGCACAAAAGAGGCAGCCAACCGTTAGGTGATGACACGTCGGCTTCAGTCTGTGATGCAGGAAACCAAATGAGGCTCAAATACTGTGACAGTTCTTTATAATCAGCTTACTTTACAGACAGTAGGGTTATATAACTGTGTGTCACTGTTTCATGTAGCATCACTGGCCTGATAACAGGCCAACAGGAGGGAAGAGGGAGATGGAAGATGAATGGCTCATTGTTTGAACAGTGAAAACTGCCCCAGGAAGTGGGCCACTAAATACATTTGTGTAAATGTGCATTTGTTTCAGTTCAACTTGTTTTTAATCAATTTATGATTTTTTTAATCTGAGCTAAAAATGTGATAAATGCTTATACTTCTTCTAATTCTAATACTTCTATGTAATGTAATGTAAAGCTTAAGCTTAAAGCTACGAAATACATATACTGCACATTCTAATTTAGAATGACTATAACACTATTGACAATAGCTTAACAATAGGTTATTGCTAAGATTTCCTTTACTAACAATAAATTAACTAAAAAAGGGATTGGCCAAATTGATTTTAAAAAATTAAAAAGATCAAGATTAAGATTAAAAAAAGTAATAAAACATGAATTTACTTTACATGTGCAGTCATGCAGAGTGGCTGGTTTGGAGAGGTGAAGCAACAGAAATGTGTTTTGCTGGCTGTAACACGTGTGTTCACCCGTCACACCGAGGCCAGACACAGATCCGGAACTTCACAGTATTTTATTAGAAACTACAGTTCGGCAATTGTCCACTGTAGTGGGGTTCTGGCACCTGTAGTCTGTGCATAATCCTTCTTTACTGCACACTGATCTCGCCTGTAGTACTTTCTTTCACCTAACGACTATAAGGGGAGGCGCTATAGCCGTGATTGTGCTCACCTGTGTTAGCTGCTGCTCACCTGTTAGCTGCTGCAACCACAACAACCCTCCTCTCGACCAAAATGGCTGCTGTCAGCTTTGGAAACTCGAGTAAAAACAATCGCAGAATGGGCGCAACAACCCATTAATACATACACGTTGTGAAACAAAAATAAAGTACGGATTATCGCAATCGCAGGTCGGCAAGGAAAGCATCCACCAATCATCTCATTCTTATAGATACCGTCGCAAACACGAACTGAACGTACTGTATGACGACAGCAGTGACGACACACTGGGCATAAGAGTGTGTAGTACCAGGGTGGTTGTCTTTGGCTGTGATTATACGGTGACGCAGAGACACGAACATGAGAACGAGGCGAAATGATAAACACCAGTCTGAACTGTGAGCAACAATCAGTTTCTGAATCAGAATCAGAAATACTTTATTGATCCTTGGGGGGAAATTTCTTCACTTTACAAACAAACTCTCGATGGTATTTAGAAATCGTCCAAGAAAGTAAAATTTTAAAAAATCTATTACAATTCCATAAAACAATCTACAAGCACCTGCACATCTTTAAAATGTACACTACAATAACTCAAAGAACAAACAATACCAAAACCAGTGGAACAATAGTGACAGTCACGTGGAAATATGGTGATAGGAAATCTTAAATGCAACAAGAAGGGATGATTTCCTGTGTGGCTGTGTTGGCTGTAAAAGTCTGTTGCTGGACACGGTCAGCAGCTGTAGGTGGTCAGCAGGTGTGTAGAAGAGGGCAGTGTTTTGGACAAGGTTCCCCCTGCCACGAACCATTCTCACAGAGTCCAGTTCCTCTATGGCAACATGACTGTCCTTTCTGACTGCTTAACTCTAGTGTACAATAAAAAACAGATCATATTATGCTGAAATCTTACTCTTTTTTTAACTGGAAATTGGACAATCACTTCTCACGATATGACGTCCAGGTCCACTGAACTAAGTGCAAACAGTCAACGCCAGTGTTGCTCCAGAACTGATTCCTAACTTCTCTCGCCTTTGGCTGTGAGTCGGATTTTTAATTTCACCTTTGACGCACGGCAACAGTCACCTCATCACTTACTGACTTCTAGAATGTTGACTGTCATCCACAAAAAACATTATATCAATGAAGAAAGGACAAAAGACGCCAATGTCCTCTAGAACAACATGAATTATCGTTTCCTACCACAAGAACTCTGCTGAGTGAGGCGCGTGTGCATATGTTTGATCACTGGGCTCTGACTCTGTAGCACAGGCGTCGTGGATGAGACATGCGTCACAAGTGAGCATATAAAAAACTGTCCATGTCCCTGTCAACAAGGAGATCCATTAAAGTCCCCAGAGTCTTTGGATGACCCAGTCCATCGTGGCTAATCATCAACAGCTTTTGTTCTCTCACAGGGGACTGGGAGATTTCTTTCTGACTACATTTTAAAGAGAAGGCAGCCAGGCAGTCGTTATAGTTGTTTTCAATAGGAACCAAATACATGTTTGTGAGAATAATAATACACACATGCAGACGAACAAAGACAGACGGATGTAGTTTATTCCACCATGACTTTGGTGTTCAGACTGGTCAGCTCAGAGCACAACATGTCCCTGTATGTGTTTGTCCTTTAACGTCCATTCTAGTTATCAAACGTCCTGCACATTGACAGCTCCACCTGCAATACCACACCAATTGATATTATTATAGTCTAACCCGGTGGTTCTCAAACCTTTTCTACTCTGTACCACCTCAAAAAAAAAAAAAAACACTGAGCTCTCTGAGTACCACCATGATGACCAACATTAGAATATAGCAGCAGAGACCTTCACTGTTAGCTCCACCACAGGAGAGATGTTTAGAAATGTTTATGTTTAAATGTTGCATTATTTGTGCATGCTATGTTTCAGATTTATTACATTGAAAATGTAAATGTGATAATATGAATTTTCTCCACGTACCACTACAGAGCGCTCACGTACCACCGATGGTACGCATACCACAGTTTGAGAACCACTGGTCTAACCAACAGCGTTAGGGTATAACACGTTAGCCAACATCACATTCACTTCCTTGACTGCTGTTCAAAAATGTTAATACAATTCCTGAAGTTCAACTCTTGGGGGGAAACATTAGCACAGACACACGTGCTCTTACTTTACAGCTGCCCACAATTGCCTGAGAAGGTTCAATCTTAACAAAGGAGTGGAGTGGGGTGATATCCAATCCACTGCGAACACATTATTCAACTCAGGAAAACATACAGTGGAATAGTATTTTAAAAAAACAATAATAACATACCTTACTTTTACTCAGCCGTGATATCAATGTTTATTTTACCAATTCCGTTTCTTTGCCTGTGCTGCACTCAGAGGCTGATCACACAATAATTCAGCACTGGGGCAACTGGGGCAACTGAAGCCTGCTTGTCACAGGTTGGAATCCTCGTCTAGATCTGGCGCCCGCTGCTTTTCCTCTTTTAGTTTGGTTTATGTTGTGCAGTACAGCCTGTTGCACAAAACACGTTTGGGAGAACAACTGTTTTAGCCCCAGAGTCATTCTTTTCTTCCAGCCGTCACTGGATTTACAATGTGACTACAAACCTCTGCCTTTATTGACAATGGGAGTGAAGTAGTCACCACACTAGTCAGGTCTGTCCAACCTGGACTACACCACGTCAACATCTGCCTCTGATGAATGAGCTGCAGATATGAGGACGTCTGAGTGTCTACAGCGTTTCTCCACTCTGCACAGTGTTTGGGTGAATGAATCATTAATATGGCCTCTGTGGTTCACTTATCAGCACTATGAACTTCTGACAAACAGCTGTGAACTGACGAATGACCTTTTTTCACCCTAGAGCGTAGAATAGTGAGAGACATGAGGATAGAATGTTAACTGAGACCCAAAAGTTTCCTTCTTCCCTGAGAAATGGTTCCAGCAGGAGTTAAAGCTCTTAACAACTGGCGGGTTATGTATGAGCTGCATGAATGAAAGTGATTTTCTCAATTTATTGTTCCACTTCACTTGGCATGTGCTCCACCACAGGAGGACGAGCCAGGTTCTAACCGCGGTCAGTCCTGCAGAGACTGGTCCAAAGATAACTGGCAGATCCTGGGTGGGCTCGGGCGAAATCTCATCAGTAATAGATGACATCCTGATTGTAGTCTGATCAACCTCTGATCAAATGACATTTAGTTCAGTGTGAACTGGAGTATCTGCAGTAACAAACAAATGTAACTTTTAAGGTGGACATTATTCTGGTTTGACTGAAGAGCCAGGGTTTTTATAGCATTTGTTCAATAACATGAAACATCTTTTGTTTATTTTTGTTTAAATTCAAAGACATTCTGATATATTTGTAATACAAACTTTATTAACAAGTTACGGCCAATAACATAAAACCCAACACCTGTATAAAAAGATTTCGTGCCACAGAAATAAACTTACATATATTTCATTTATCATTCTACCTCTAATTAAATGATTTAAAAAAAAACAACAAATCATTATGTACAGTTCCATTAAAACTATCAACATTTGCCACAATAAAAAATCCCTTACTGAAAAAAGCCTTAAATGCCTATAGCACAGCAACAGGGCTGAGGTAGAATAGAGAGATACATGGAAATGCTTGAAGAAGAAAGAATTTGAAGTTAGTTGTTTGTCTCCGTTCTTCATTTTGAAGACAACAAACAGAGGCTAAAGGTTTTTTAGATCATCACTGAACTTCACTCTGCACCGAGGGATAAAAAACTATGAAAAATACTTCTTTGTGTGAGAAAGCGGTTATTTTGTCCACTGACAGTTTTGTGTGTGGTTGTGTACTTTGTTCTGCTAATGACGACACATTCACATTCCTACAGTTACGGCCTTGAAATTTATATACACACAATAAAAAAATAACACCTCTGATCTGAAGACATTTACACATTCATTTGTCTGGTGGGGCGGGGATGAGTCGATCATTTTAATACGCGACAATACATGAGTGAATGAGTGACGTCCAGAGAGGTTTCTGATTTCTGGAGACTAATGATTGACTCAGGCGACCTCAGAAGACAGCTGCCAAAAGAATGGACCGCTGTGCTACTCTGTCTTACTGTGGATGAGCTAAGAGAGGTTACCCACACGTATTCAATCGCAATTGGATGTTACTCTCCGTTTACCAGAAAGTTTCGACTGGATTTATTTCATTCTCAAATGTTAAAAAAAGTAGTACGGTGAGAAGCAACGGCTTTCTGATGCCAAGTGCAAAAAGTCCTAAAGAAGCCAGAAAAATAAAAGAGCACGCATCAAAAACGACAATAAATATGAGGTGGAGAATAACCGCCTATTATTATATACATATTTGCCACTCTTCTTAATCTTCTTCTCCACCGCGCTAGTCGTAAACCATCATAGCATTTTGAACCACACGGTAAACTCAGCAACGCAACAACATAACGTAATCTCCTCCACGGCAGCTGAGCTCAGTCCGCTCTGACACACTCTTCTCTGCTGCACCTTCTTTTTCTCCTTTCCTTGAATGTCTGCCTGATGAGTCCTGGCCTTCAAACCACCTCCACTCTTCACCTATACTAATAATTTAGACCAAGACTTAGTTTCACAGCCCAAATTTTCAGGAGTTGAGAGGCGAACATCGACCAAAGAAGTGACACAGAAGAAATAAAGAAAAAAGAAATGTTAAAACAAACAAATACTACGTACTATGTACACAATGATTAAATACAGTGTAATCAGTATACATTCCTGTGTATTTGGATTTGTGGTAGAAACAATAATGTAAACATAGAACTTCCTGTAAAACGTGTCTAACTGTAGTTAGTTTAGTTGCAGCACCAGCTGTTTACTGTGTACGGAATTACATTATAATATGTACAAAATAATGTCACGTTTTCACAGACTTCATCTAAGAAAGATCCATATTTGATTTGAAGGATGACGAACAATAAAGACATTTTGCAGATACTTCTTCTAAGTGCTACTATATCAAATAAAAGAAAAAAAGGAAAAAGAAAAGCATTGACCGGAATATTTTGGGAGGTTGTGTTTAAGATGAAGGCACCAGAGAAGAGATGAAGAGCCGTAACGTCTTCACTGTGGACTCTCCCTGCTCTGTGGGAGCAGCTGAGGCCACGGTGTTGGTCTGCTCTGAACTGACGCCTCACTCCCTCACAGCAAAGACCCTGAAGGCGGCTCCCTCTGTGTTGCTCTTGCTGTAATCAGATGACACAGAAATGATGAGTCAACTCACAGTTTAACCTATTTTAAAAATCACTATTTTTGAAAAGAAAAAGGTTTAAAATCCTATGTTACTGTGAAGAAATGAGGACAGTGGACAGAGGAAAATAAGAAGATAAACCAGAGCTGGGAAAATTATTTTTACTCTTTTTGGGAAACTTGTTTGTTATGAGGGCTTCAAGTTCAGTGGACAATATTCCACAGCTGAGTGTAAATTATGACTAGCTGATAAGAGAACTAACAGACATATAAATCTATAAGTACAGGAAATGTCGTTGCTCTAGTGAGAGGACTTTATATCACGCCCTCTTTTAGCTGGATGACTCAAATATGACCTAAAACAATCCTCTTTAATCATTTCTTATCTAGAACTGCGACCCACAAATGTCTGGGTATCGTGGACAAACTCTCAGACGCCATGTTTCCCTGCCCCACCCAGCCAATGATGGTAAACTACAGCTATGTTCCCGTATTTAGGGCTTTTTTTTTAGAAATGAGAAGTTTCCTCTTGAACTAAAAGAAACCCTTTTCGTGAAATGACTTTCTGTGATTTTTAATACTTTAAAGAAAACATTCCGACGCAGTGTTGAGGTTTTTCTGGGAACGGCAGTTTTCCATTGACCACATGTGATAAACTTGATTACTTTGTAATTAGTTCATTAGCAGAGAGACCTTGACGCTTTGCCACAATCAATAGTGCTGATAGGCCAGTGTGATCGGTATCACATCACAGATAATTGTAGGTATCCAGTGGACACTGACTAAGTGGTTGACAGCATTCCCATCCTCTGGTAACAAGAGAGGCTGTGATTAGTTCCCCACCAACAGAGTCCAGTCCAAACTGCCCACCCACCCGTGATCCCCCAGTACTGGCCCACGGCACGGTCTCCCTCTCAGCAGTTTGACCTGCTCCACCGCTGCCCTTGAGGGGGGGTCTTCCCGGCTCTGCCTCAGAAGTCATAGAATCCGACTAACAGTGTGTTTTGGCCATTCAGCGTTTTGCACACTCAATTGAAATGCCTGGGTAAAGTAAGCAGAAATCCCACGTGTGGCCCATCCACACATGAAACCACACCATTACTCTTAAGGCCTCACACGCCAGCAGAACTGGCCACAGGGGCTTCCTCGCCTCAGCTTTGTCCAGCACAGTCGGCCACAGACATGAGAGTGATGTGAGAAGCATGGTGTGCAGGCCGGGAGGCCACTACACGCAGTATTACAGGAGGCGTAAATCAAGGCAGGCTGTGTGAATTCAAGTTCTTTTCTGCGGCACAGTTCACTCTGGAAAACTGCACTCTCTCTTTGTCTTTTTGAAGCATCTCACGTCTGATAACTCACACTATATAAAGAGAAAACCTGGCTGGTTTTCAGCGCATGAAAATATTTACTTGCTGATGGAGGTGGTTGAACACCGTTACTAAATATGGTTTGCTTTTCTGAAGTCATTATGTGTTTCTGTGCAATGAGCAAATGCTGAAGATATGGATTTTTTTAAATGCGGTTATCTCCTGTTTTGTTTTTTACATGGAAACTGTGATTGTTTTGATGATTACCTTTCAGATTGGATGCCATTTTTCAGCACTCCACTGTAGCTCTTTCTCTTGTCCAGGGGCAGAACATCCACCAAACCTCCCTCTGGGCTGATCACCCCTGCATGGATGGCTGCTTTACAAATACTGGAGTTCTGTGAGCAGACAGTGTGAGCAAAAGCAGAAATGTTAACACAGCGTGGTCATTATAGACCTGTCAGAAATACATGAAATATGATGCGGTAATTCATAGACAATCTGCGTCACAGGTCTGGCTCCATCACATCACCATCTCTTATCAGCAGCCGGCAGTGAAATCATTTATTTCTAGTGTAACAGGAAATGCATTCACACTCATGTCAGGATTTCGACACCATGAGTGGAATTCTTCATGTCTGTCAGTCAGACTCTGAGTCAGTGGCTTACCATAACTATGTCACAAAGCCTAAAGTCACACAGACCCATAGATATGTGTATATTAGAGAAGTGTTTGACTCACATCCGCGTAGATGTTGTTCCCGACAACAGGAGACCAATAGGAAGGCTGAGATTTACAGTTGGTGGGACAGACAATTCTGGTAGAGAAAATAAACACCATTAAGTATTTTTGAAATGTTTTAAAGAATTAATTAAAAAATATATATTAATGATGGTAAGATCCACCTTGGACAGTGTGAGTAAGGCTTCTTGAAAGGACAGATCTCAGCCACAGTGGTGTAACAGTCGGCAGTCATTTCTGACAAAGAGAAACAGAGGAGAAAAACTAAGTCCAGCCGAGCTGTTGGCTCATTGTGTGGATTTTCACAGGATGAGGGCACACAGCTATTTTCAGAAAGAAAACTTCACTCACCATCAACTTTGGTCATTACGAAGGCATTTCCTGCTTTATATTTACTATAAAAACAGATCAAAATAGAACAATCAACTCTCAGGATGTCCACTGCTGTACAACATGGTATTAGTACATTATACTGATGTTATATTTGTATCAACTACCTCAGAGACTCAATTCCATTCTTTGTGGCTTTGACAAAAAATGGCAACCTGTCCATTCTGGTGACGTCCACCAGTCCTCCGTTGTTATCAATCGCACCAAGATGAATAGCAGCTCGGCAAATACTTGATTGCTGAAATGATACGAGATAACATAAATATTGTTTTTTACTTGTTTTCAATCTGGTGAATGCCGTTTTCCAAGAAAACAAACAAATCATCACAACCTGATTCGTAACTTATTTCGTTATAGTTCTGACCAAAGTGACTGCAAATTTATGGCACAGTTATTTACTGTACATTTGTACATCATCAACACTCACCACATCATAGAAGAGCGTTCCCCACACTCTGGCTTTCTTATTCAGGCAGTTGGCTGGACACAGATACCTGCAGTCGAAGGAGAATGGAGCAAAAACAGTGAGACACCGCTGGAGAGTCACAGTCACAACCCACGTTCATTTGAGTCGTATCGTAATGACTGACCGATTGCACGTCGCTCCCTTGCACTTGTCTCGCAGTCTGGTCTCACATTTAATTGGTTGAGCTACAAAAACAGCAATAATAATAACCTGAGAAGAAGGTACAGGTAAAGATGTCAAAGGTTATTTGGAAAGATCCCTCCACTCACCTAAGTAGGTGTTGGAGGGAGTCTTTGAAGACGGGGTTTTTGGAGTGGAGGGTTTGGCTGCTGGTTTCCTCGGAGCAGACGGTTTAGGTTTAGGGGCAGGTTTAGCTGTGGTACGGGGCAGCATTGGAACCTGGGGCTTCTCCACCTCGTTCATGTCCTCTGTCTCCGGGCGCTGGGACTCTACATGTACGAACACAGTGGGTTCAGAATGCTAGTGTTTCAACGGTGTCTTTCCCTCTACATGTACGAACACAGTGGGTTCAAAATGCTAGTGTTTCAACACTAAATTGATTAGATAGATTAAAATTGATACAATTGTAAATGTCCTTACGTTTGTAGCACAGGTTATTCCTGCATCCTCCTCCGTAGCTGGGAGGGCACCGAGAACACGAGCGTCCATGCTGGTACGGGGCCTCTCCGATCCAGTTGCCCCTGTAGGTTTGGTGCACAATACACACTTTGACTATGGTGGAAATGACTCATCAGCCAGGCATCACCGTGCACGTGACTTTGTCATTATTACACTCTAGCTCTTTTCTTGTAGTCACACTCCTAATAGTCATTAGCTCAGTCCGCCCGCTGTCTCTCCAGCACTCACATCCTGTGGGCCGCTTGGAAAACAAACGCCTTTTCTGCACTTTGTTTTTCTTTCCTTTTACTTTCGTATTATTTTTCTATTCTGACTTCTGGAGCGATGTTAAGGGCGCAGTGTTAGAGGAACCTTCTAGAACAATTAGTGCTTCATGGACTACATCTATATTGAGTTAACACTGGTCAGCAGTTGTAAAAGGAAGGAAAGAAAAATCCGGAGCTGCAAATGAACAGAAGAACGTGGAGGAACGCTGATCTTACTTTGGGGAGTAGTTGCACACCAGGTAAACAGAGTTCTCCCATACATCCCCCCACACGTTCATCCTGGGACACACATGCACGGCGCAGCCCACTCGGTTCGTGGTCGCCCAGACCAGCTGTAAACAGGGAAGTGAAAGAAAGGCCAAGGTCAGCAAATACTTAAAGCCAGGATAAGGGTTTGAGGACTTTGACATTCAAAATAATTATTTTTGGACACTTAACTATGAAATCAAATTTCCTACCAACCACAGAACCCTTAAAATTTAAAACCTTAAACCTAAAAACACAGCATTAAAAGTTTACTATAGTTATACTATGTATAAAAGCACTGACATTTGTTAGTTTTCTGAAATTCTAGAACAATAGATTTAAGCCGTATAATGTTATAATATAAAATATTTTAAGAGTACTATAGTACTGTACCAGGAGAGTTGTTAGTTCAAGATTGAGTCAATTACTTCTGCCACATCAGATTCTGAATATTTTCTTAATATTTTGTTGAATTTAATAATATGATACAGATATGAGTTCAACTGTGGTTCTCTATACAAAAAGTCTTACTGTAGTTTTTTTTCTTTCTTCAATGCATATTCTAACCTTTGGAAGAAGAAAATATCATTTTTGGAAACGTAACAGATCGATCAAAATTAATATCAGCCAAGTGAATGCATTAACCAGTAAAGGTTACAACGTCGTTTTAATGCTGAAAAGACTTGAGGCCTTGATCCACATGTGGGTCAGTCACTTCTTCCAGAGGAAGGAGCAGCATTTACAGCTAACGTGGACTGGTGTGACAGTAAACAGTCCCACAGTATTTTCTAACCAGGTCATATTCTCATCATTTCCACTTCCAGTTCACTCGCTCTGACACAAAGGTGATCATTGATATCTTCCAGTTGCCTAATTAGTTAAAAGTCTGCCCCTGCAGCTGCTGTGGTGACACTGATGAGGGATTTGTCACTTGACACTAAATACAAGACAACATGTCCCAAAGCTCCTCCTCACTTTCCTCCCAAACTCTCAAACATGTGCTCTCTCCCTTCTCAGGAATGCTCATCTTTTTCCTGCTCCAGTCAACGGCTGCTGGAAGCAGTGAGTCAGCGCACTGACTGTGTGCTGAGGTCTGGTACTTCAGCGTCAGCTGTCCTCCTCATCTGGAGGATCTTACAGGACAGTATCTCTCTGTAGGGGCAGTGACAAGGATGGACAGCTCTGATGTCGGATCCGTCATCACGTCTAAAATAATATGGGAGGAAAAGACAAGGTGACGATGGTGATGGTTTCTTCCAGTGCTTTCTTCTCTCTGCAGCATCCTCTGAAGAATCCAGGTCAGGCAGCACAGTCTACTGTCTCCTGTGTCTGGAGATGGCTACCAGATGGCAGTGATCGGGTTTCAGGTCGAAGGCAAAGGAGGAGGAGCTGGGACGTTTCTGTAAACTCATCACAGCGGCCACAAAGTAAAGTCTAGAGGGAATAGGGGCCAGCTCATCCTTCATACTCCACACATATACTCTGAACTATAGAGTGAATGACAACAGCTGTCAGTCAACATAAACCTACGATAAATGCTGTTAAATTGACCAAGAAAACTACTCATCTTGTGGCGCTTTGGCCCAGAGGCAATGTCTCTGTCATTGATGTGGAACCCCAGGGTTCACCTCCTGGACAAGTTTGAATCCCGGTTAGGGCGGTTGGTACCTTCCAGTAGACTCACCACCCGCAGGAAGGTTTGGGGGGTTGGTACGGTGCAATGTGATTTGGGTGGCGACTGCTGCCCCCGCGACCCGGTAACGGATAAGCGGATGAAAATGGATGGATGGATGGAACTACTCATCTTTCTTGTGAAAACACCATGCTTGCATCTGACCACAGTGCAGCCCAGAACTGTTTTTGTTTGAGATCCAGCACTGTTGAAATGACCACTTCATCTTTGTCAATGCATGCATCTGACAGAGTTCCCTTTAATCTCTTTTTTGTCCGTCTAAATGTCTCTCCTAAACCCATTCACCTTACCTAATCCTGCTTTCACGGTAATGGCCTGTCTTACCTGGGTGTAATGGGTGCACATGGGCCCAGAGCAGCGTTCTGGACACCAGGGGTTGCACTCATGGGGGTAAGGATAAGTGTAGTCTTTCACCTCATCGTACCAGGACTGGACGTGAAAGGCGGGCGAGCGGTATCTGCAGAGGCAGGGAGTCAGACACACACACACAAAAACACAGTGGGCTCAGTCACAGAACATCCAGGTACCAGAGGCAAACAGAGAAAAACTGCCAGGTGCTTTGGCTCCACTTGAAAAAACACTGCACCCTCCCCTCCACAGCCTCCAGAGATGAGCATGAATGTGAGCTGGCACAGTGCATCGGCCTGTTACGCTCCATAACAGGGGGACTCATAACATGCTCCACAAAAAAAAAGAAAGAAAAAGTATGTGGATCCAAACAAATCTCCACCACCTAACAAATCAGTTGTAGCGGGTATTATAAACATCTCTTTTTACGGTATTGAAAATTGCTGAGCTTATAAATAGAGAGTAGGGTCGGAGCCCGGAAAGAAAGGATTGTTGGCAGAGGAAGAAAAGAAGGGGATGAAGGGGGGGGGGAGGGGGGGGGGTCTGTGAGAATGAGGGCAGATTCCTGGAAGGGCACCTGCTGCGATCGCCATACACTGTCATACACAGAGGCACACTGTGTCTGTTGTGTACTCACACACTCACACACACACACACACACACACACGCAGTGACACTAATGCATTGGCACTGACTACATATGCTGCGCCTTTCTTCAACCAAGTTTTCATATAAAGGTACACTGTTTAGGGATAAGGTTAAATTAATCATTATATTTCATTTATATTTGCAACAGGGAGTGTGCAATATTTTTTTTTTTGTTAGATTTCTTGTTTTCATTAGCTCAGCCCTTCACCACTCCCACTCTTTTCCCTGAGCCATTCTTCATTTTTTTGCAGGAATGGTCAGGACTTTTCATCCACAGCATGGATGTAATGTATGGTTTGCTAAAACCCTATACACTGTACTGTACTGTACTGTACTGTACTGAAACATACTGTATTATATTATAACTGTTTCTGTTAAATGCTCTGACATAAATGCATCCATTCAATAACAGCGATGTTAAACAGCGAGGTTAAAAACCTGAATCTACCAAGTCACAGTTGACTTGATTTTTCATTAAAGATTTTGGTCTTGGCACCTTATGATTCACAACTTATTTCGCTGCATTTATTGTTTTATTTTAATGTATTGTCATTTCTTAGGGAGGCAGTCTTTCGTGTAGATGTTTTGGAGTACAATCCCTGTCTTGATTTTGTTATAACAATATAGTATTTACTTGAATCCATTCATCCAGTCCCAGTACAACGTCCCCTGGTCCCCAGTCTGTCCTAGAGCCATATATAGAAACAACTAACCATTTACACCCAGAGTCATTACCTATCCCCTAATCCCCAGTCTGTGGGAAGGTGGGAGGAAACCAAAAAACCTTGAGAAAAGCTACACACTCACTGACTCACACACACATAACACACACACACATAACACACACACACACAGGGGAAAACATGCGAACTCCACACAAAAAGGCCATCTGTCCGAGCAGGCCAACGAACTGTGCTCTTTCATGCTGTGAGGCAGCAGCTCTATTCACTTTTCCACTGTGTGGCACAGATTATATTTACAAAATATGAATAAATAACGTAGCATTGCTCTGACGCGAGTGAACATAAACATTTAAAGGAATGCTGATGTTTCCAGGGTGTCGAGGACGTTAATGAAACAGAGGAGGGGACAGCTCCACGGTTCAGTAAAAATATTGTTGGTAAATATGATACAGATGTCACTACATAACCACTGTGTGTTGTTGAGGCTCACCTGCCATAGTGGACAGCCAGGTTTTGTCCAATAGACATCAACAAGTCCTCAGGTCCGTGGTCCCACTGACATTGCTCCGCCCAGTGAGTAGCCGACTGCTCCAACTCATCATCCCAAACCTGCAGGAGGGAAATGAAAGTTGTTGTTTTGTAGTTTGAGCCTCAGTGCAGATGTCTGCGTCGTATCCACTGTCACAGAGTGGAGAACAAGTCCTGTCCAAATCCACATCTTGTTCTGACTCTCAGCCACAACCTGTTCGAGGCCTCTGGCCCTGAACCTCTTTCTTCCCCTGGTGGTGAAAGTGATCTGAATACAAGTCCAACATTAACCTTAGACAGTGTCATTCAAGTGGAGCAGCTGGCGCCTGGCCCTGCTCCACTACAAACCTCCAGCAATCACACCTGAATTATCCACACTTCCTGAGTGGGTTTCTTTACAGCGGCGTGGAGCGGGAGGGAGAGCAGAGGAGACACCTGACTCCTCCACCGAGGAGGAGGCGCTTTGAGTGGAACCAAGACTGTGTACAGCATGGCTCCTTGAAGCAGATCTCCTCAGTAAATTTCCAGCCTTTTGGTGGTCGCTCAAACATGCGCACACAGACACCACTGTAACCCCAAACAGCCGTACACTAACACCAACACACACACTGTCAGTGTCTGCAGGAGTTTTCAGACACTACTTACAGACGCTCTCTTCCTCAGTTATAACCACACAGCAGAGACACGTGGACCACCGCTGCCTCCTTCAATTTAATGAATTGTGATGTTTTTATTAAAATTCTATAATAATCTGTCTTTACACACCGATGTGCTGTGTGATATATTTCGGGCTCTAATTTTCCCACTCTCTCCATCCTCTCTGACCCCAGTCTCACTCACTCTCCTGATTCCTGCAGTGCAGGTAGAACAGACTCAGCATTCTTACCCTCCTTGTTAAAGAGCAGCACAGCAGCCTGGCACCAGCTCTCCATCGTGACCGTATATTTCCAACAGAGACCAAAAGGCTACTTTCAACTATAACAACGCTCATGTTCTAGGAACAATAAAACCTTTAAAACGCAATTACCAGCCTCGTTTGGACGTCTTTGCTGCTGACACATTTAAACAATTTGGCCTTACAGATCAGAGCCAAAAACTGGGTTAAAAACATTGAAACAGGTGATTGGAGTAATGGGCCATATCCTACCATGTACTCCATGTTGGAGGCAGTAGGGTAGACACCCCCCCTCAGCTTGTTGTGCAGCTGGAGGATCTCCTCACGGTCTGACCAGCGGATGGCTCGTCGAGTCCTGTTGCCGCCCGTGTTGCTGGTCCCGTCCAAACTCACCTCCTCCTCATAGCGGCTCAGCAGCTGCCTGAGCTCCTTGGAGTCGGGCAGGAAGAGGGAGGATGAATCCCTGATGCACAGCAGCACCATGGAGACGACATGGAGCCAGGTCATGGCGGTGTGGGTCATTCTGTCTCTACAGCTGTCTGCTCTGGACTTGAAAACTGCAGCAGACTGTGGACAGGCTTCAAAGTTCCAGACACAACCTGCTGAGAGGAAACTTTTAATGATTCTTTTCCCACTAAGCGAGACAACACAGTACAGTGAAAATGAACGGCTGAGAGATGACGTTGGTGATGGAGAGGTCTGAGAAAACGTGTCAAAGAAACACAATTACAAAGAAATAACTGTAAAAGTTTGGACAGGAATAAACCTGAGGTTTGGTCAGTGTAGAATGAACAGGCTGTAGACGTTGGCACCATCGGCTGATTATCTGTTGGATTTTTTGAGCAGTACATGAAAACTTTATACAGATAGACCACTGGGGATCAACCGTATGATACAGTTGCTGTAAGGCAAGATCACTGAGCAGCATTCCACTGTGTCTCCAGAGTCAGCTGGGTGGTTGTTTATAAAATAGAAGCATTTTTAAACCGATGATTAGGACCTGAGTTGAGATTTTTCTCCACTAAATCATAACAACCAGAACACTAACAAACCCAAACTTACCCTGAAGGACATTTACACTTTAAAGACTAGAACCAGTTCACTGGATTAACCTCAGCTTCCAAAAAGTGGGGGGAATGTGTTTAAAGAAACAAGTCCAGTTCCCTAGTTCTCAGTTTTTAACCTCTACACAGTCAGAGAAGAGAAGACGGCTCCGTCAGTGTGATCTGAGGAGAGAGTTTAAAAACCAAATCCAGGTTTTACTCAGGTTGCCCTTCTCCTTGATTCCTCTCAGACCCTTTCACCCTGTCTGAAAAGACAGCCTGAGGTCTGGCAACACCTTTGTGTCAACATGCTGTGCCAGCGTTGGCCACTGTGAGCCAGCGGGCACTGACATGCACCACACCCCTCTCCTTTAGCCCCCTTTTCACACTCCACCTCCACCAGCTTCATGTGTCCAGCTCCTTCTCACATCACTCATGAATTTTATACCTGAGTGAGAGACAGAGTAGGACGGTCGGACGCACGTCCACATCCGCGGGTTGACTCTGTATTCAAACTCAGCAGCCTCCTCCCCAACACACCCCCGACCTCGGCATGAGGCTGAGAGTCAGCAGGACTCATGACACAGCACGGATGGACAGATGTCAGTGCTTCGCATTCGATTTGTCACTTTTTGGAATTGAGAAATAAAAAAGCTATAAATGTATTGTGCTTATTTTTTTTTATTTTTTTTTTTGAGTGTAAGTTTTATTACTTCCACGGCAATTAATTGGAAACTAACACTCGTAAAAGCAGAAGTACTTCATATATATATATATATATATATAATCTTTCAGATTAAGTTTAGAACATTGTAAAAAAAAACACTTCATAAAACATGACATTTGAAATGACAACCAACATGCATGCCAGTGTCATGGCAGCTCACCTTCTCTCTCGTTTGTGTCCAGTTACTGCAATGTTTCAGCTCTGGAGAATGGATCACAGGATAATTCCCAAGTGGAAGAGAACTTCTGCTGGTGCAACTGCTGCTGCTGCTGCTGCTGCTGGTGGTGGTTGTTGGCTCTGTTCCTGGAGCAGAGAAGAAAAACTGTGGAACTCCTGTGCTGCTCACAGAGCCTTATATAGAGAAGGAGACCCCTCATGACCAGAGGAAAACATGACTGTCTCCCTCTGCTCCCCTCCCTCCCTCCCTCCCTCCTTCCTTTCCTCCCTCTGCCTCCCTTTCTTCACTCCCACATTTGCCAAACCTCCATTAAGGAGACTATGTTCTTGGCAAAGATTGCACACTGTGTGCGCACACATAAAATGACGCGCACAATGTTTTAGAGGGAAAACAAATCAGCTGACTGTCAGACAAGTCCCGGGCATCGACGGCTGCAGCAGCATCTCTGAATCATCTCTGACAGAGATCTGTGAGTCTGTACAGTCAGAACACACACACACACACACACACACACACTGTGTCATTCTTGCTGGTTTCATTCATCCTCGACACAGAGAGGTAAAATGATGTTCACTACTAGTGATAGTGTTTCACTGTGCAGTTTTTATGCAGGACGTTGGGCTTTGAATTCATTCATCCATCTTCTTCTAGTCCTCAGGTTCACAGACAATTCACCAGTGGACACACGGAGACAAACACACATTCACCCTCACATTCATACCTGTGGTCAACATAGACAATGACAACAGACAAAGAGGCCTGAGGCTCATTAAACAGGTTCATTTGACCTCACTCATGGTTTGATTTGTAGTCAATAATAAACCAAATCCACCAACAGTTAATAAAGTAAAAAGATGTCTTTGATGAAGTCAGGACTGTACTTACGCAAACATTTCATCTTTTGGGAGAAGGAGGGGTTAACACGAAGTTTGTCTCCAAACTTTTTGCTACGGCTAGCCTACAGAAGAAGACAGTCTTCTTCTCTGTATGTTGGAGTTGGTGTCTTCTGTTGGTAACCTATGCAGCCCTTGAGACCCACAGGTGCAAAACTAAAAGTTTTTCACAGCCCTCTAGATGGTGCTGGCGGTCACAGCCCTATGGTGTAGAATCACTGATCCAAATTGAACCATTGATCTAACCCTGCATGTTTTGGGGGTGGATGAGAACATGCAAACTCAATTCCTCACAATGCCACCAACATCTTAACATCTCTTATTATCTAACTTGGACAAGAAACTTTATATAATGATTAACAGGCTGGTGAGTGGGATCAGAGACGGCGTCTTTCAGCTTAGAGGTACCGTCAAAGTAAATACATCAACCAAATGGAACCTGGCCAGGTGTATAAATACAACAGACTTGTTCAAAGTTAAAAAACTGCTTGCTAGTTTACAGAATAAAAGGTTTTGCATTTTTATGTATCTGTCTGTCAGTATTTTATGTCATCACTTCAAATATTTGCTAAAAAAAATTTTGCTAAAAAAAATGGCCAGGAAGAATGCCAGCAGACTGGACTCCTCAGACAGACTCTCTCCCCACAAGGACCTTTTTTTTTGCCAGTCTGTGCTTTGCACTCAGTCAAAATACATGTTCAGCCGGGAAGTCTGGCCCTCGGTGCCTTTGTTTTCCATCTTCACAGAGGAGGTCACAACAGTGTCTACTTGTTCACAGGAAAGTCTTTCTGAGACACAGAAGGAGTAGACAGACTTCAACTGATCAAGTTGTAGAGCAGTTTAAAGCTTTCAAAACATGAGCCCTATGTTTAGTCTCACTGACGTCTGAATAAGAAGCATTAAAACATCTTTTTCCTTAGTGATCACGGTCCCTCAGTAATAATCATGCATCTCTGACATGACCAAGGAATGAGGTTCTTCCTCTCAAAAGTGCTATTCATTACCCAGAGGCATTGACCTAGAACAGCGAAGGCCAAGTGGAAACTCCTGCATGGGTCTCAGTCGAAGACAACAGCTGGACTACAGCATCCAAACACTTTTTCACATCATATGATGTTTAACAGATTCAGGCAAAGATTTTAGGGATTCACCATACAGCACATGCACATGTGACACATACACAGAACTGAGAAGTGGTTTATTTAGACAGGCGCTTGTGGAAGACCCTCAAAGCTCTGGTTGCCATGCTTTTATTCCCCCAAACACAACACAAAAATGGGACGTGAAGGGGGGTAAGAACCAAGACGGGGGCAAGAGGTGAATAGACATACCATATGGCATACGTTAAAAACAAAACGTAGACAGTGAAGGAAAATGAAATGTAAATGAAAGGTACTCAGCTGAGAATTATGGGTAACGGGAGGTCAGATCAAAGTGAGACAGGGACAGCTGTCTTCTGTGGACGTGCATGATATCTGGGCCTGTGTATTGCTGTGACTGCCAAGAAAAATCAGAAGTGTTCAGCGTGTGTCATGTGACAACACAGTGTTACTGGAAGAATGATCATTTCTGGGTTTTCCAGTTTCGACATGTGCCATCGAAAAGTAAGGTTTTCTCATTTGATCAGCACATTCAAAACTTCAGAGAATGTGTTCAGGCCTATTACACACTCATGGATAAGTCACACAAATGGTGTTACCACAAATTAGTCAAATGTGCTGCCAATTACCAAGAGAAACCCCTATGTTTCACCACACTGCTTACAAACCTGGTGATAATAGCTTTAAAGCTGGTTGGATAATAAAACACTGTCATCAAGCGTGTGTGATGTAAAGCTGCACCGGTTGCTGTTTGTTTCAGTGGTCATGTTTGATGGCCTACTAAAACAAATGACTCGGTGCAGCGGTGAGAGGTCTGGCTGTTTATGGAGCAGCCGTACAGATGTCACAGAGAGCTATTGTTGAACCGCCCCGACATGTGGCTTTATTTTGTTGCCAAGAGAAGGAGCAAACTCAAACTTTGGCCTGTCACGCTGGAAACAGACACATATAGACAGACCACCATTCACACTCACCTTCCTACCTATGGTTGATGCAGCCAGTACCAGGAGAGAACATGAAGACAGAAAGACCAGCAGGAACTATACGTCTTTCCTGAGGTATGACAGAGAAACAGGGTTTCTTTGAAATAACCAAAAATAATAATAATAATAAAAAAACATTTTAATATTAATTATTTAGCTATGTATTGTTTTGATGTTTTTGTCATCAAATGTTGAGTGTATGTCCACCTGGAGGTGATGTGGACAGAGGAGACACTTCACGACAAGGTCAGAGAATTGACTTCATTGAACTAATAGTTTTTGCCAGACAAATCTAATTTTAATACAATTAAACAAAGATTCTATAGCATTTTATAGAACTTTTAACAGCTATAACAAAAACATTTTTCACTTGTCAATTTTAATGCGATTTAAACTAATTAAAAAATGTCAGACATTTTTCAGCAAACAATAGTTATATCTTTCGCAGCATCATTGCCACTTTAAAAAAAATTGATTACTAAAAATGTGTCAACACAGCTTTTAGAAATGACAACAACGGTCTGCCTCTACAGAACAGTAGTCTCTCTGGTTCGTCTTTTTTGGTGTAAAATGACAAATTATCTAATTTAAAGGACCACCATTGTAAATTTGAAGTAAATTTGAAAAAACAACTGTTGCATGTACAGTATTAAATGAAAGTGCAGCCTTGGTTTTTGTTTTTTTTTAAACAGTAGAATCGTTACATATTATACTCCAGGTTTGTTAACATTTTTAAATGTAATTACCCCCTCCCCCATAGTTTAGCTATATATTATAATTTTACTTCTGGTTAAATGTACTTTATTTTTTTTACAAATCTAAATTTGAAATGCACTAAAACAAGGCCCAAAGTATTAAAAACATCCTTTCTGTGGAAAGCAAAGTTACAGTAAAAGAGCAGGGCACACTAAAGAGCAGAAAAGCCTTACAGGGCAAATTTTTCAATGATGGGTCTGTTTCCCATTAAAACAAACAGGGTCGGCACTTAAGAGAGCAGTGTGGGCACTGAGGCTGCCAGCTGGACCACAGGAGTGGGAGATGAGACATACTACACATAGTATACATTGGTGTAGAGAAACAAGAGAACAATTAAGAGAGTGTGGTAGACCGAGACTCTGCAGATTGTTTTGTTATAGTTTATTGTGCACATTGTTCTGTAGGCCAGTCCACAGCCTGCCAGAGAGACTGCAGATGTTTGCAATATTTACTTTATTAGGAGCAAGCCGAGTAGTCTGGTGACTACACTTCATTAGCAAACTGCTTTTCGCACAATCCTTTATTGGAACATAAAAATATAACGCTGGAGGTCTGAAATTAAGAGACAGAATAGATTGTTTGAAAGACAACATTCCAACAGTATTTCCAGCAGACAAGTGTGTGGAGCACATACTGAGGAGACACATTGTTGAAGCATTTCACCAGGATTTTCTCCTGACCAGGGAAAACTGTACATTAGAAAGCTGTTTCTAAATCTCCACTTCCTCGCACTTTAAAAAAAGGGAAGAAAATGCAAATCGATGTCACAACTTTCACAGCTCAACATAGGGATCAGTGAAGGTTGTAAGATGCATGGACTGAGAGACACACTGTGGACAGAGAAAGTAAAAGGGACAAGGAGTGTTGGATGGAGAAGACACAAACAAAAGAAAGAAAATGCAGTATGAGGGGCTGGATAAGATTCCTTTGGTTTATCTGGGGCAGGTTTCTGACACTGAAACCTACAAGTCAATACGCACAACAATGTTTAATTTATTACACAATAACTATTTTTTTTACATTTAATATGTATTCTAAAAATTTAATATTGAGATAGACCTATGTTTATATTCCTGGTTTTTTTAAACATGTATTTAGAAGAAAATGTTTGCACAAATCAGACTCTGAACTGCAGCACTGCGGTGTTAGGTGAACATTTTCATCATATTATGGCATCCAGATCTCAGAAACAGATCCATGCAGGGGTTTGTTGGATGAAGACACAATGTAAATACTGGGTTTGTAGCACCAATGGGTGGAATGAAATGAATGAAAAACAAATAAGAAAGAAAAAGACAAAATGGAAAATATCAAGCAAAGAACTATATCAATTTTATTTATTTTTGTGCTTTAGCCTGTGTGAATTTTCTTTTTACCAATTCAAACGCAAGCATTTCTTGGAAGGGAGCAGGAGCAACGGGAACATCCAATAATTGTCAATGACAAAACAGAGGGGAGGAAAATGACATTGCTTCTAAATAATAATAAAAAAAGATTTAAACATCTTAACAAAAGCAAAACTACCCATTAGTTATGTGATGCAGAACAGGTGTGTTGTCTCAAAAAAAGAAGAAAACTATCTGCGTTCTGGATCTTTTCTTCTCAACTTTCACATTTTTTTTTCCTAATCAATATTCAGACTATCTGCTGAGGTGTGATTGAATTATAAACGGTCATTACCAAAGGTGAAAACTTCAAACAAGATCAAGATAACCAAAAAAAGAAGAAAAGACAAAAGAAAACGTACAGAGTAAACAAGAGCAGGTTTGCAGCAGAATCCGAAAGGTTGTTGTCTCTCCAGTGCAGAAACTGAGTCAAAAAGCTAGTGCAGTCTCAGAGGAACCTCCGTCAGCGACATTTGACAGTTTTAGTTTGAATAAAAAGCCTTTTGCATCTCTTTATGAATATCATTTGATACTTTGTGCGTGAAATATTTATTAATTAATCCTAGAGCGCATTAATTTACCCAACCTAAACCCAAGAACCATAGTGAGGATTCCTGGAAGGAAGCTTCTCATTTCCCCATCTCTGTAATGTTCCAGTACCTGTGTTTTGAAGTAAAAGTTAGGAGAAAAGACATGGAAGATATTTTTGTGCCGGTGGTGATGAAGAAAATAATCTGGCCTTAAAAAGAGACTTGTGATTATAATGCTGGTGCTGGCGGGCCTTTTAAATGCACTGGGGCAAACTCAAAGAGGCTTTTAAAACTGCAGCAGATTCTTCAGGCCGACGGGAATCCTTTAAATTCCTTAAAAACAAACACTGATATTTCTGGCTCACCTCCGTATAAAAGGTCATCCAAACAAGTAATTACCCAGCAGCTTGTAATAGAGAGAGCTCTTCTTGTCCATGTGTCGCCCACCGCTTGCTATCAGAGCTGAGGGACCAGTCAGGTAAGGTTCTTTAAGGGTTTTAACCACTCACTTCAGCTCAAGCCTCGTCTTTTCATCAGTCCTTCCGTGACACTTTATGAAGTATAAGAAAACAGCAAAAAAAAAAACAAAAAAACAACAACAGCAGTGGTGCACAGAAAAGAGCAGTCACAGGTTGATCCTTGTGAGTGCAGCTTGATTCTCTTCCTCCAAAAAGAAACAAAAAAAGAGGAGCTGGAAAAGCTGGTTCCAAGTAGAGCTGGGTCAGTAGGGAGGAAGAGGAAAATCTTGCATGTGGACAAATCAGGCAGTGTTTCTGTTTATTGGTTTGGTGTCTGTGTTGTATGGATGGGAACTATAAGTGAGAGCATGTTCAGTTTGATGGGTTTGTGTGTGTGTGTGTGTGTGTGTGTGTATATTTCTGACTTTGTGGTATGAGTGAGTGTGTGTGTGTGTGTGTGTGGGGGGGGGCGGGGCATGTGTCTACAGCAGGTCGACGCGGCGGTAGTACAGCAGGTAGGCGGTGCGCTCTGCAGTCTGCTTCACCACCTGGTACTGGTTGATGACCTTCACTGCCTGGTCATCAATGCGCAGCCAGCCGTTAAGACCAATATGGAAGACATCCGTGGTGTAATGACCGCCTGTTGCACTGTTTCCATGGTGATAGACAACTGGGTGAGAGGAGACGGGAAAAAGGACATTAGACATGTGTGGAATGTTTTAAGCCTTACAAGTTATTACTCATCCATTACTTCAGAAGTGGAAACTAGTGTTTAATTGAGGAGGTTCACCTTTAGAATGAATCACAATGTGAAACTAATTAAACTGATAAAAAAAACAACAGTTTAAACTGTTCCAGTTAGTGTTAGGTGATGGAGCAGATGCAGACTTGTGAACATGTGACTACTGCCAAACAAAAAAATAAAACACCAACACACCTGCAAAGAGTCTGTAAGTTCTTTGGCCTTTCACAACTTTGCTCCTTACTCCAGAGGACAAGAGATCTGGAAGAAAATCAAGAAGTAAAAAAAACAAAAAAAAAACATCACTGATGAGACAGATGTTCTAGATAAGATATTATATCAATTTATATTTTCGAAAATGATCAGACGTGCTGTACTGTGTTCAAAACACCTTCCATACAGCTCAAGAAAAAAGGAAAAATAAGCCTGTGTATTGACCAAGCTCCTATTGTCCTATCTAACCATCAGTAACACGCACTGACAAATCACTGGGAAATGAATACCAACAATATAATTTAAGGGGGTGATTTATCCCTCTACTTATTTATTTATTTATTTTTACAAAAAATCAGTTATACACAATTTCAGCACTAACATCTACTGTGTCATCCTCACCTTTGCTGATCTCCAGGTCAACAGGGTAATCAACGTTCTTGGTGAGTTTCTGACATCCTCCAGTTTTTTCAAACACAAACCGCTTGAGGTGAAGGACCAGCACAGGAGGAAGTTCCTCCAGTGTCACTCTCCGACTGATCTCAATCTAGGAAATGATAGAAAGATAAGTTAGGGTGTAACCTTACACGTGGGATTAAACCCAATAAAATCTTTAAAACATAACCAAACAGTTCTGGGACAGAACAGACAGTGCTGCACTTTTATAACAATCACATTTAAACCACTTGTATCTAGTCGTGAATCACTGAGTTGTCTTGTTTTTAATTGTTGTTTCAGGGACCAAATGTTACTGTCCCAAAAAGGATTAAGACTGGTATGATACAATTAGACAACTTCAAAACACTTCAGACTTGTTCCCATCAGCAGCTGTACAGCAGATGTTCCCTGGTTTTAGGCCAGTGTGTAGTTTCCAGACTAGTATTTTCTTTTGCAGTTGATAGAGGTTGTGGGCAAGGGCTCAATACCAAATCAAAACTAAAAAAATTATAAAGATAATTCGATTTGTAAATGACAAACAATATTTATCCCCTTCATGTTCACTGACAGTCAATGTTGGATAACAAAATATCTCTGGGCCTTTACTGATCCCCTTCATGGTCAGCAATTTTAAAATTCAATCAGGAACAAAAAACAAACAATGCAAATTGTGCAGTTCAACGTTTGATAGATGGAGAAAGTGAACTCCTTCCATACCTCCTGCTTGGTTTTAGAAGTGTAGCCCTGGACGGACTCCCGTGCCACCAGAGTCTCCAGAGCGTCCTGGACAGTGCGTATCTTGTCTGACTGGATGTCCAGCTGCAAGGTGAAGAAAGGCTGCAGAGTGGCCGACTCTTTAGAGTTTTGTTGATACACCACCGATCTGAGCATAAAAAAAAACAACATCCAGTAAGAAATGACAAAGACAACAAGACACTCTTCCTATTCTTCTATTTATTATTCCTGGGTTGTTGTGTCTGAAATATCTGACTCAATAGGTTTAGGGAACAATGGTGTTACTCTTTCAGACAATAAAATTACTTTGACTTTAAATGCCAAAAAGGGTCTATGGGTTATGGCCAGACTCAGTGGGTATACAGACTACCCTCTATAAACACATACTCTTGTGTATATTTCATTTTTCTTTGGTGGCAACCATTTCTGAAAAACTAAGTCTTTGCTGCAAATTCTGACATTGCCAGACCAAAGCCTCAGAACATACTATTTTGTCAAACACAAGTTTGAAACTTTCCGATTTCTTTGGAAACTAAGACTTTTGTTTGTGGATATGTGACCCAGGTTGTGCAGTTGAGAATTTTGACTATAACACACCTACAGTATAGCAGTTATCCATCAGAACAACTGTTGACCTTGAAATGCCCAACATTCTCCCAGGATCGTTGTTAATTACTATGTTTTATCCAATACATTAAGACAAAATAGGAAATACTTTTAATTAACCAGTAAACAAAAATAACAACAACAAAAGTCAGTAACTGGACATTAACTCTTCCATGTACCTGATGTGACCGCCAAAGATGTCAGTGATGGGTGTGCGGACAAAGTCAGCTTGACGAGTGATGGACGTCTTGTTTCGAGGGCCCACCTGCTCCCACTCATCCTCACTTCCTTCTTCCTCCCCTTCAGCAACATTCTCTGGAGCAGTAAAGTTGGAATCTGGACCATTAGGCATTGAAGCTTCTGTAAAGCAGGTTTTGAAAGGTCACCTCAGAGTAGGTTTGACAGTTATTTGAAAATAAATGTTGGTTGAAATTTTATAGAAACATATTTTATTATTCTATTATTATTCTTTCAATTTTGTAACATCTTACCTACATCAGTAGAACTGTTGGGATAAACATTGCATTTGTTTTGTTGGATCTTTTATTTTATCTTAAACTCACACAGCACTTATGACATCTATTATGTCCTTGTCTCTAATGTTTATTATGGACACAGGATAAATGCTTACTCTCTTCCTGAGGTGAGATAAGTTTCTTCAAAGCCAGCATCTCTTCGTGAAGTCCATTGAGAGTGAAGCCAAGATACTCCTCTGCATCCTCCTGTCGGCCCTGAGAGCAGAGTAGATCGATGTTACTAATTAAAACAACTACAAAAATGTTTACTTTCAAATTAATTGTCTGCTGCAGAAACATGGATGAGTCTAAACAAGCTTGTATTTCAGTAACAGAAAGCTTTCTAAGCAAACTGTGAAAGATGCCAATGTAGTAATGTTGTCTACAAATGACTTAAGCGGTTAAAAGAATTCGAACTGACTAAGAGTGTGTCACACTCAGACTTCCTGCTTTTCCTGTGTGTGTTAACGAGAGAAATCAAGACAGAACATTTTCTTCAGGTACTGTTCGTCCTTAATTAGGTGCATATGCTGCATGATTAAATCAACATTTCAAAATTGTGTCAACACGTTGATAGCCAGACAGAGATGAGTGTGTCTTACCTTCTCAGAGAGACTTGACTTGATGAGTGTGAGGAGTCTGTAAATATAAGTTGGCTCAAAAGGAACACCAGGCCTGATGTCTTTCACCACCTTATCACCAGCACCTGGGGAAACAGTCACTAATGTCAGAAACTGCTGCTGTAACATGGTAAATTAAATAACATATCAGGCATATGCCAAATACCATTTAAGATTTTTATTGTCAAGACTTCTCACAAAGTCTATGTATCGAGTGTTTACTAGTCTGCTTAAGGAGGAGGGAATATCACCTAGTTGCAGAAATAAATGTTAGCTTAATGTCAAGACTTTGGTTATTATTAAACATACATCAGCATGGTTATGTAATTCTAGATTTTGATAATTCTCTGAAACTTTCTTTTTTCATCAGTCTTCAAATGTCTTATGTTGTGCCACCTTACCTTGCTGTTTGACCTTAGACGGCACGGGCATGGTGCTGAACTCATTCACCAGCTTCACACTGAGACACAAACCAGAACAGTGTATATGAAAAAAAGAAAAAAACATAGGACCAACATCTCAACAATTTAAGTTAACTATTACAGAGATACGACTTACAAATTGTCCATCATTGGTGTGGAGGTGCACGACCTCTGTGTTTCATCGTACAAAGGAATTGACTTCATCAGGTGATACATGGGAGGACATGCAATCAAAGCCTGTAGGGTCTGAGTGTTTTACAGTCAGGGAGCAACATGGCAAGAGTGCGACAAAAGCTAAGGTTACTTTCTTTTTCCTAAACACATAAACAGGTTTAAGTCAAGCCCCACATATGTTCACATGGTTCAAACAGCCAAAGGATACAGCATTTATGTAGCACCAGTTTCCCTTGTTTATCAGTCCTCTTGGCTGCAAAGATACTGGTTTATGTATCAACTTCACATTCTCAATAAGTTCTGCGGAATTCAAAGAAACAAATTGATTTAAAGATGATGATGACACCACAATAATCAGTACAGCTGTTGATTACAGTAGACATATCCACTCTTAAGGCAACAATAAATATGAACAGATAATGTTCCTCCATCAGTTCCAGCTTTTTGTGACAATACTACAAGAAGCTGATGGAACCTGGAGAGGGTTGATGTTCCACGCCTAGGAAGGGAGACTGGCATTTAAGAGCACAGCTCCCATGGTAACGTGGATAATCAAGTTAGTATTAAACAGAAATATTAAAGTAAACACTGCAGTGTCTCCACACATGCACATATACAATCCAAGAAAAATAAATACACATACATCAGCACTGAGTAAATTGTGTTTTTAAAACTCAGCTTTCAATTCAATAATGGGCAGACATCATTGACCCAAAGCAAACACCTTTTTTTTTTATCCTATTAGTTTAGGCGAAATCTTATCCGTTGTACATACACATCTCACTGGTCTTTCTAATGAATTACATTTTCATTACCCACTAACGAAAACATCAAAGTCAACAGCTGAGCTCTTATCCCAAAAATGGATCCCACTGCTGAGGGTTTTTTTCCACAGAAACCCAGTTCAATAATGTTTTGTAACTTTTGGCCTGTTTTTTACCTAAAGTAATAGCACTGCTCTTAAGATAACGTAGAGAAAAGGATATTTTAGCTTACAATGAGTGCTAATATGAGCACTGCCCCTTGTTGTTCCTGAGTTGAGTTTGGACACAAATCAAATGTGACAACAGGCAAGGTGGGTACATTCATCCACCTCACTTCACACAAATGCTGTGGAACAGCATGAATCTGAATGAATTAGACCTCATGGTGATATTCTGATGGGCAAAGGCCCAATTTTTATGCTGCAAAGGAAATTAAAACCCTTATTTCCAATTAGCATGACAGCTAACAATAGTTTCCTAAGGCTAAAAAGTCATTACATTACAATTGTACTTTCATAAATAAACAAAGTTTAGAGTTCGGTTGGTTGCTGTCATGATTTCATTTCACAAAATGTGAAAGTCATGTCCAATAATAATCATTCAAAAATGGTTCCAACCACATTTCTGTCCTGGAGATATTAATACTATCCCTGGAGGGTTTAATAATTCTTTGGATAGTTAAACCAAGTTTTTGTATTTTAACATTTTCCTAAGCTGTTTTCTTTTCTTGTTGCAGGCCAAGATTTTGGCCTCTACTGAAATGGTAACATCTTTTGCGTAACCGCAGTTCATGTCTTCGAGAATAGTCATTAAATAAAAAGCTACTACCTCCATCAGTTGGGTTAAATAAGTACACTTCTGACAGAGTGCTCAAATCAATTAGCCTCAATATGTTTTCATCAGGTCACTATAATATATGCACGTGGCACACAGTAGTATGGCTGACAGTAAACAAAAAGCACTCAAGATCTTGATAAAAATGTTTTTCAAAGATTAACAAATATTTTAAAAACTATCTGCATCTTATAATTTTGTTAAGATGCAATCAGAGCATTTAATGCCTTGACTGTAGTAAGTTATTCTATTTTCTTACAATGGTATTGTGTAATCACGTGAACTTTCCAGACTTCATCTGCCAAGTTATTTAGGGTATACCAGCACCACCTAGCGTTCATGAGCTGAACTTACAGATTCTAGAACTTTAGAAATTACACGACGTTCTGACCAACAGAACGACATAGAGATGAAGCACTTCAGGCACATTTAACACTGAATACTCCTGTCCAGGTACAAAGTAGACAATTACAAAAAGCATGCTTGTTGCAAATGGCTTCCTTAGAAGCACCAACTTCTAAAGTGATAAAATAAAATAGTAATTCAATAGTAGTCAATGGCAAGAATAATACAACAGTCAAAATAAGTTAAATAATTGTATACTTCAAATTTCTGCTAATTTAATCAAAAAATAAAGTAACACCTTTCTCAGTGTAACCTTTCAAGAGTTAAGAAATATTTGAGGTAGGAAGTGACCCAGTGTTCGCTGTCAGTGTTGCACATTTCTCCAGGACCAAACAATCAAAAACTGTAGGAAAAAAACACTAGAAAGGTGTCATTTTTAAACACATTCTGTGAGGATCTTCACATTATACCTGCAAGTTTAGGAGCCATGGGATCCTCTGACACATGGACAGGTCCATCTTTAACCTCCCCAACTTTCTCAGGCTGCTCTGGAGCAGAGGGAACAGGTGACACAACGTCTACAACATTCTTAACCTCCACAAAGGCGGGAGGGCCACCAGGAAGAGGCTTGGAGTTGTGGAAGAGACTGGCCCAGGACTTGGGGAGGTTGGCAGAAGGTGCAGCAAGAACTGCAGGTGAATGGGCTTGATCTGTAACTAGTGGCTGACCAGTGGAGTCTGAGGAGACCAACTGAACCTGCTCCTCGCCCTCTAAATCTTCTTTATTACGTTCATCTGCAATAGTGGGAGTTTCTGATTCTGCTAGTCCGTTGGCCACCACACTCTGTGCTACCTCGCTCTGCTGCAGCTCAGTAGTCAAAATAGAAGTGGCCAAGGAGGTGGTGGCCACAGAATCTGAAGGAGGAAGTGGTGATTTGGAGCAGGGGCTGTGTGGTGTATCTTTAAGTTCAGGGCTCTGTGGAGCCAAGTGGTCTGGCTGCTGATCTGCAGTCCTTGGTCCTTCTGTCATCCCTCTGCATTGAGAGGAAGATGAACATAAGGTATTTGCATTGTTTGCCACAGGTAAAGATGCAGCCACACTTGTTAAGTCCAAAAAAGAGTCATCAGGGCTATCGCAAGTCCTCTGATTGGCAGTGGCTGGTGGGGTGACCTTAGCTGCAGCCACGACAGCTGTCGATGTGGTTGAAACAGATGTAGAGCTGGAAGGTTCTACCTCTGAGAGTTCTTTACAATCCACATCCTCGACATCATTGTGAGGACCACTTACTGCATGTCCATTGACCAAAGCTGTCAGTGGTGTCCCATCTAATGTACTAATGTTGTTAGGGCAAGTTGATGGGTCAAGGTAGTTATAATATCCTGGTGGTCGCTTTTTCTTTTTTTTTCTCTCCCGCTGTCCCAAGCTACCAGGATGTCCGTCCATGTCCTGGCATGTCTGGTGATTGTCCAGGTTTGTTCCCTCCAAGTCTGGGCCATCCAACGAATCAAATTGGGGCCCATCAGGCCTGTCAGATTCTGAAGGAAGAGTGTGTTGGGCTTTCTGAGGGGACTGGCAGCCCAAGATGAACTCCGGAGCCTGAGGATTCAGAGTGCTTGACACTTTATATAAAGGGTCATTCACTCCAAGAGGCTTGGAATCCATCACCTCATCAACACCAAACTCAATGCGCTGGAAGTCTTCTGCTGCAAAAAAACAGGTTAAAATTAGAAACAAAATAGGAAGAGATTCTTCAGACAAATGTTCTACCAATCATAAAATCCAGAATATATGGATTTCCTTTTTCACTGTATGGATTTTACTTTAAATAGAGTTTGTAAAATTAATCCCTAAATTTATATCGAGCATTTGAAAAGGAATCTCAGACCTTTGTTAACATAGTGCAAATAAAGTAATTCATAAATGGAAATTGTGAAATATAGAAGTTGAAACATAGAAGATACAACTAACTTGATCGTACATACAAAATTAATAAACTGAAATAAAACTTCTGTGCAACATTTAATGCAATAGGACAAATGAGAAAGTGTAATATAGCACAGGTCTGATCACCTTTTAATTCATTGTGCTGTGTTTGCACACTATGTGCCATGTTATTGCTGTGTAGTCTACCAGCATAATGTGCTGCTAACACATGACAAAGCATGCTTGCATCACAACCACATAATTCGAATTAACAGAGCGCTCCCAAAGGTCAGCCCCATTAGTCAATACCCAATCAATTAATTTATTCTAAATCAGAACGGAAATCCAATTTTAATATCGGATCACTGCATTCCTAATACACCGATACAGCTGAACCTTATCAGAGCAATGCAATGAAGACAAAAATACATCATCAAAAAAGAAAGTCAAATGTGTTTCGATAACAGTTGAAGATGCTGTGCAGTGAGAAGTGCAAAGTGAAAAGAAAACAGCACATTAGTAAGAACAAATCAAACATCACTGAGATATTTTAAAATGCTTCCTTTGTCAAGTGATTACACATAATCGGAAACCCTGATTTTCTGATAGAGGTTATGAGAAGAGCAGTTACTTCGACTGGAATTAGAAAATCTGTTAGTGTTACTGAAACCAGTGACCAAATGCATCCTAGAAAACAACAACGGCATTACTGTTTGTTAAACCGTAGTAATATTCACTGATGATTTTAATAACGTCTAGGCCCTGCAGTTGTGAAAATGCATTGTATGCAGGAGACAGGTTAGCAGAACCTTTAACATGCAAAGCTCTACAGACTTTTACCAACAAGCAAGAAGAAGAATAAAAGCCACAGGTTTCAGGAAAGCCACCAGTTATTGAAACGTCCATACTGTTTTAAACAGCAAATGTACAAATGCTTCAGACTCCTCAACTCACCACAAACCTGCAGTCCCATAGACTCCATAATATAAGGTACAGCAGGAGTGCAGTAACTTCCTGAATAGTCAATACAAATCAAGTTAAGACAAAAAGTCATGTGCAAATGTATACAATATCAAAGAAAGGAGGCTGCGGCAGCACCCTTTTATATGGTGGCCTGAAAATTCCACAATAAAAAAAACCTAATTTAGCAATACTATACTATCAATCTTTTTACAATTAGAATATTAATCAATCACTTGTATACGTATGAACATGTTATGTCATAAATCATCTGGCAGGTCATTTAGGCCAGAATGTCTAGCTCAATGCCTTTAAATGTTAATTCAAGATCAAAAGCTTATCACTTTAGCATAGGTGAAATGTACTTACCAGAAGACTGACTGACGCAAGGAACTTTGTCATTGAATGGAGGAAGCTGGAAAGATAAAATGCATATGCGTGTTTTATTTAACAAAACCTTGTTTGCACAAATCTTTGGATGCATTGACACACAACATACAACAGAGTTTACAGCAATCTTTATTCGGTCCCAGTCTGGTTCATGTAGTCACATGACGAGTACATCAAGGGGCAGTAATGAGTTTTAAAAAATTATATTGTGTGACATATCAACATGACACTTGTGTAAAATAAGCACATAATTGCTTCTTATCAAATGCTGAAGAAACTTGTTTAGTGTTCAATTCAAGCATTCTTATTATGAAGTAAATAACATTTCAGTGGTCGGTGTAAATTACAGCCTGAAAGAAAGAACAATGTACTGACTTTTTGGCATAAAAATGCTCAGTAGAGCTTTTTTTTTTTTTTAGATTTTCTTACCTCAACATAACACCGTGGAGTCACAAAAAACTGATTGATCTCATCAGGGCTGAATTCCCCAAAGATGTACTGTGGAACAAGAGAGAATAAACCATCAGAGACCTGCTAGATCTGGCACTGAAACATTTTCCTTGTTCTCAGAATAATGATGAATTTCATGCAACAATCTGCAAGAACTTTACCAACAAGTTAGAAGAGAATGTCAAAAGTACAAACAATTATTGGAAACTTATAAGCATGTCAATAAACATATTAAGTGGTTAGTTAATTTCTGCAACGTAAAACAGTATAAGTAATGTTATAAACTCAAAGAAACCTTTTGGGAAACGTAAGTACTACTTGATGAAAAAACATTCAAATAACAGAGACAAGTGTCTGTCTCTTTAAAAAGTGATTTCTTCAGTACTACAGTTGCTGTGTTCTGACTATTTCTCTAAACATCAAGTAGAACTAGAACCATATAAGAAAATATAATAATTAAATACACTTTGAATGCTCAAATGAATCACTAACATCACATTAAAAGCAACTTGGTCTTCATTGCAAAACCAGCCAATCAGGATGCAAACGCAGTGTCTATCTCCTATTCCCTCTTATCTCTATACCTCGTCTCCCTTATGGACTCGAAACTTCAGGGACACTTGGGGTGTCTTTTTTATTTCAATTAAATTCCACCACACTGCATTTTATGTGGTTATGTGATTCTATAGTGGGGCACTGCCAATAGATCATTTATGCAGAACTGGTGTGCATATTTTTGCAACCAGTTACCAATATTAATGATTTCCATTTCTTTATATTCCTAACATGGTTTTGTGATAGATGAGCCTCTGACCTTTAGGGTGGGCATCCAAAGTGCCCACATGGCCATAAAAATCATAAAACCCCCTGAAAGAAAAGGTGAAATGAAAAACAAACAGTATAATGTGCAACTTAAGCATACAAAAGTCTTTGTCAACGAGAACCCACACAAGGTCCAACAATGCTGACATGGCACTATGAGCAAATTTGAAAGAGAAAAAAAAGGAAAGCTGACCATAATCCAGTGGCCTCAGGATGGCTAATACAATCACAACAGAAAGAATGTCCCTTTACTTTCGCACGTACAGCACTAAGCTTCCCTTTCAGTTTCACTGGACTGAGGATTACAACAAATGAGCCATCTGTATAATTTCATGTTCCTCCTGACAAGCACCCACAAGTAGAATATTGGAGACAGTGAGGCTGAGGTGGGGGTGCAAAAGATTCACATTCAAGTTAAACATTTTATTTTGATTTTTATATTGTGCATTGCTGAAATGAGCTAGATGAATTATTTTGTAATTTATTTTTCTTTGAAACATTAATATTCATTAATATTAATTTATGCAATTGCAACTACCTGATTTTATTAAAGTTAATGCACAGTCATGGCCATAAATGCAATGGCAGTGATTGGGAAAAATATTTATTTCTGTGTTTCAGGTTTCAGCACTGGTTTCCTTACTTCCGGCTTTATTTTTTTTCATTTTGCTATCTAATATGCTTTAGAAGAAACCCCAATCACATCATAAAATAAATAAATTAATGTATATACATCTCGAGTAATACCATCAGGGACCACAAGATAGAGATATGACTTTTATTCCATATCGCCCATCCTTAGTTGGAAGCTTGTCGCTTTTTTGGTTAATGAGTGATTTTTGTCATGTTGTTAAATTCTTTTGGTTTGATTTGTTTAATTTCATAAAATTCATAACCAAAATTTACAAAAGACAACAAAACATAAGGGCACAAATTGGACAGGTTTATTGTGGCCCATTTCTAGAAATTTAAGTTTGTTTAAACAAAATATATTTTTGTTCAAATTTGTCAGTAATCTTCCACATGGTTCCCCCTTCTACATTACTTTCTAGTTAGCATCAGCTGTAACATCTTACAACAGGTTGCGCTTCTATAAAATAACACATTTAAAGAACGTAACATCAGCCCCAACCTGTTATAAACCATAGATGAGGTTTTTCCATGATGTAAGAACGTATTAACGTATTAAATAGTATATTCCAAAATAGTACTGGCAATTCAATTTCCTAAGTTTTAGTTGACTAATGAACACCATAATTAATCAAGACTAAATATTGTACAAGTACTTTTTGGATAATAAAATGGCAGCTACAAATTAGCACATTAGTCTAAACCTCTGTCTGCAGTTAACTGCTGTTTCACATACATTAAGTAATTCTGCAAGTATTTGTTACTATATCCAGTATGACTTGTTTGATCGAGTTTATACATACGCAAGTAGTGTTGATTTGCACCGACTAAATAGCTTAGCCTCTCATTTTCTCATTCACCTTCTTAACAACTACATTCATTCAATTCATTTTAACTTGATAGTATCAAGTAAAAATGAATTAAAAGAAGTCTGTTTAACCCAACGCTACATTTCACTACAACACTACATTTTCTTTTTACACAGTACATGCAGCACCTCCAGGTCTAAGAAGGAAGTTTTATACAATACATTAAATATTTTCTTTAATTGTCTAAACAAAATTCCTGAAGAGTTAGGGCTAACAAAATCAGTCTAAATTTGAGATGAACCTGGAGATAAAGTGAAAACCAAACATGATTAATAACAGGATAATGCACAGTCAGTGTACGGAACCTGGTAACCTTGATGGAGGTTTACACTACCAAGATCTTTCTTTCCTATTTCTATTGTGTAACATAAAGGAGAACAAACTATTGTAAGGAGTTTTACTTGCGCAAGAACAACTGTTCGCAACAGGGGTAATCAAACAAGAGTAAAATAGTTATGGGCTCCAAATCAGGTTACTTCGACAACATCATGGCAGCTGTGATTGTCTGCCACTTGTTAAACAGATCACATTACACATTCTCTTCCATTTAAGTGGCATAAATGGCATCCGTCCCTTAAGTTTAAAGTAGTGTTTGGATGAAATTTGCAACTTCTTCTCATTGGGGTATTAAAGACTGGAGAATAACTGAAAGTGAGAAAATGTGCAGTCGCCAGTTTTAAGTTATGTGTGTGTTCCTACAACCATTACTCACATTTCCTCATATGTCAGCCAGGATCTAAAGCTAGATGGTAATGTATCCCGACTGTAAGTGAACCGGTGTGAATTAATTATTTCTTTAATATAGCCAACTGGTAAAATCTCAAGACCTGGCGTGTCAATGCATCCATGCTTGACATTTTAAACTGGTTTGCAATATGATAGCTATTATTCATCAGAAATAACAAATACTATGTTATTACACAGGAATCAATGTTATTTAGATATCGAGAAGAATTAATGTACTAAACATGGCCTTCTGTTGTAGTTAACAGCTAACAGACTGACTGTAGTTTACACTCACACCACCTGTGCAGAGATGCTAGAATGCTAACGGCTAACTCTTCAGCAACTGCGTTTCGACCCCTCCAACTGCTGGGTAGCAATGTTAAACTATAGCATGTAAAATGCTGGATGACATTTATTTTCCCTACGAATACAAAAAAGATGTTATCAGTTACGCATGCCCTCTACTAGAAAGAGGCCTGTGGCAGCAGTGAGCAGGTGGGCCATGCACACACACGCCACCACCTAATTTTACCCTGGATATTGTCATTTCGCGGGTGACATTCCTCCCAAAACCATCGATAACTCACAGATATAAAGGTCCATTCTCATTTTTGTAAAACAATGGTTAATATTACTGTTGAATAATTTGAATGAAAACCCCTCAGGCCTATTAGCTAACATGCTGGTTGGGTTTGAATTCAATGAGGCTTAATGGAGGCATTAGCAAGCACTTTTTAGTAGTTACTCCTCCATCGACACGAGCGAACAGAAGTTTTAAGTAGCAAAAAGCGGATGATGAAAATGGTACTAAAGCAAAACTTTTATTTACGTTAAGAGGCTGTGGAATTATGAGGCAGGCGCTCTTGACAAATAACGCTTAAACAGCTGGAGTATTTGAGGCTAACGTTAGCCACTTAGCTCAGCTACCTGATTACTGTGGGAAGCCATGCTCCCGGTGAGCTTCTCTCCCCTCCTTTGGCAACAACAAAACTCTCCCGTAACGATGTTGTAGCTTGGAATTGACTGTTACTGAAGGAGTCCTACGTTGACTTCATTGTCGTTTTCTGCTGTTGTCCTGCCAGACGTATACTTTGATGAATGCAATGCATCAGCACTTCACGCTGCTCGCCTCACCGTCACCGCCATTACTGTCTACCATCTTCCTCCACAGTTTAGCTTAGCCTGCGCGCCGTCCGCTGAAGCGTGAGTCTGACAAATCCCACTTCCGGAGCGCAACGTTCTTAGATTTCACAATAAAATTTGCTTATCGTTCCTGTCCTTTTTATGTTCTTTGATCTTGTGATGGAATTTACGTTATTATCCACATTTATATATTTGACTGAATTTATTAATAATTTATTTTCACTATGTTCTATATTGTTATGTAAATATAATTTTGAATTTAGAACCTGTAAAATTGTATGAACTAGGGTATGGGTTTAACTTGGCAGTATTGGTTAACTTTACTCGTGGAAAGGTCGATTTTTCAGACCTTTCCACGATAACATATTTAAGTATATATGCTTGATAAACATATATAAGATAACATATATAAGTATCTATGCTTGATAAAAAAAAATTAATTTGCTCGACTTCTGCTTTGTTGTATTTTGTTTTAAAGATTTCACGGCTAGGCGGAAAAGACGTGATACATATTTATCGCTAGCTTTTGAGCGTCACCGCCCTCGCGCACCGTGTTCATTCACGTCCGGGTTGAAGCATGAATCGCAGATTTTTGTTTTCGGTCAAAGATCAAATGCATTCCACGACAAACTTTCCAAGTTTTAATACATTCGTATTAAGCTACAATTATGTAGCAAAAATTTGATAATGTTATATTATTTTGTCAAGCAAAAAGTAATGTTCCCTCTTTCTTAACTATTTGTGAAATTCTACGTTGCATTTTAATTCCATCTACATAACATAAAACATCTGGAAAATAATATTCAAATATATCATATATGTTGGTATAAATAATAAAAAACAAATAAACTTTAGGTAGAAAGTAGTGGGCGTGGCTCGCTTCAGGTGTGCGGCAGGAGAAGGAAACTCCAAACCGGAAGAGAAGGAGGCGTTTGCTCAAACGAAGACAACAAGCATCTGTCGACATAATCCGAAAGTAGGACCTTATAATATCGTTTTTCCAGTCGCCAACTCCTAATATGTAACTTTTAATGTAAAAATGCAAGTGCATTGTGTACCCATTTAAAACTAAGTGATTGATCTGTATCAATATAGACTTGGGAACATGTAAAACCTCTGATTTTGACTTAAATCTAAGATGACTTCATCATTTTGGCTGCTACTTTATTACCAAAACCTCCACCTTCGCTTATCTAACAACCATTTGTACTAAATTAATGCTTTTTTAAAAACGTTAACACTTCTATAAACTAACCCAGTCAATAAATACAATCATGTCTACACTTCTGTTGGCAGACCATGCCAGTGGAGAGAGGACACCACCAGATGTATGAAGAATACAAGCGCAGGGACAGAGACTATCCACACGGAGATAGAGGCTACTCCTCGCATGACAAAAAAGGAGGGAAACAGAAGCCTAGAGACCTGGATGAGAGAGGCTCTGTAGATGACAGGAGAGCCAAACAACACAGACAGAGGGATATGACAAGTGCCTCTCACAGGGAGACACCTGTTTACAGAGACCACAGCCGGGACTGTGAAGGACCCTCCACACTGTAAGAGATTTTACACGTTATGTAAAAAGGACCAGGAACCTGAGAGCTTATTTGGAAAACATGTTTCATGTTTGATGAATTCACACAAGTTGCAGGATTAAATATAAAATCCCATGATGATTTTTGAAGCAGCTGTATGTGAATGGAAGTGCTAGATAAAAGTTTTTTTTCCATGTATTATATTATAACTGTCCACAGACATTTTTTGTGTCGACTTCAGATGTCTCAGTTTTTTCTCTTCAGTATTTTTAGTTCCTATCAGATTTGGAGAACATAGACTATGAAGCATGGCAGAAGATGCTTCATGTCAGCACAGCATTTATGCTAGACTCCTAAATGAAGGTCCAGCTGATTAAAAACCTATATTGTCAAATCATTTACCCTGCACTTCAGTGTTCTATATTTCCAACCCAAGGAAAGAGCCAATCAAGAATAGAAAGCATGTATTAGCATATTTATGTTTTTTGTTACACAAAATGACATGGCTGATTGAACCCATTGAAACAACTGTGCCTTTTTGTTACAGGTCCACAGAGAGACCAGGGCACCACTATGTAGCAGAGGAGTATTATGTGCAAGAACACAGACAAGCACTTTACAATCTTAAATACACTATGACAGCCAGAGGCAAGTTGATCTTATTTTCTTTTGAAATTGGGCCTATTTAAGATAGCCATAAGGCTAAAGTGTGATACAAGGCTTTTAAAACTTGTACTGAGAACTGGGAGCAAACAACTAAATATAGGACTTGTTTTGGGGTTTTTTTTATAGGTTGTGTATAAACAACAAAAACACTTTGTCCTACAGGTTTGTGCCAGCTCATGGGGATTTTTGTGAATCTTCTCATCATCATCTGCGCTGGAGTGCCTTACAGCAACAACGGTGGATACCGTGACCTGGCCAGCCTGGGTGGAGTCTACTACTATCACTTTGGTGGAGCCAATGCCTTCACTGGAGCTGACGCAGACAGAGTGAAGGAGCTCGACCGCCTGTTCCATCAACTCAAGCGGCCACCCTACATCTACAGCATGGCCTATGGCGGGGTTTTAATGGCCTACACCTGTGTCATGCTGGGTCTGGGAATTTTCCGAGTTCCGTACCGCTGCCCCCCTGTGCTGCTTGGGGAGGCTGTACTAAACTTCTTCATCGGCCTGGGTTACATCCCTGCTCTAGCCTTTTACTTTATTAAGCTGCAAGAAACTTACAATAATCCAATTTGCACAGAGAGAGAGCAGATGTACAAGAGCAAAGGGCATAAGGGCTTTGAGTGCCAGTTCCACGGTGCAGATATCGCAGGGGGCTTGTTTGGGGTGCTGGGGGTGTTTGTTTTCATCACTGGCTCAGTTTTCGCTGTCAGAGCTTTCAGGTCAGTGCGTGAGATGAAGAAAAGTACAAATGAGGAAAATAACTTTTAGGCTGGCCCTTCTACACAATCATTAGGATCAGGATAAGTAGTAAAGTAGGAGTGGAAATAGAGATGAGCAAAGGACATTTTTGTATTTGTAGTTACTGTGTATAAACCAGTGTAAACCATTTGTTTACAGTGATCATTGGATCAGCTTTTTATACTTGTTCTTTTTTTTAGTTTATTTTTTTACTTAAACCTTTGACAGTCACACTGCACAGAGGCAGATTGGAAACATGGAATGTTTATTTACTTCTTTTATAGAAAATGTTTACACTGTTGAAATATGTACCATTTACAGTGAACACCTCATATAAATGTTCACCCTTAATAAACTGATAAAATGCATCGAATGGCATTAGTTTTTTTTTTTATTCTATGCTGAATTTATTGTTTATTTCGTAATATTAACTGTTTTTGTTTTAAACACATTCTAGGCAAATTACAATTATCTTGTCATATACTATACCTTTTCAACCATCACACTACTTTGAGAAGCATTCTACACTTGACCAACAGATGGCACATCAGAGTATATCCGAGGCAGTGTTTTCATCCAAGACAGTCTAGTTTCCTTTCACTTATATTAACTGCTTTGGATAAATTGACCTGGATGACTGAAAACATCAAAAGACACCAGTGTGTTCACAGCTGAATCCTCAGACTTTTTAAAATAATAATTTCTGATTATTAAATACCAAACTATAGCCAATATCCCTTACAATGGCCATTTGTAGTTAACACCAAATAAAGTAAAACCCAAAGTAAAATATTAATTTGTGCACAAATAAACTCCACACTACTCTCTCTACTTTGTTTTTTATCGAGGGTGAGCTTTCAACAGTTAATAAAATGATACAGTGTTAAAAAAAAAACAATATAAGGGACGCAAATCCATCATGACTTTAATTTTTGTGTTAGTGGCACATAAAAGATTCACAGGAAACAATGAAGTACAAAAATAAACAGCATCTTGGCATTGAGGAGAAAATATTCAAGCATTTTATAAAAAAAAAAAAAAAAATGCACCAAAGAAAGAGTAGTTGAAATGGAACGATGGCTACTTTGGTCAAATGTTACACAATGTGGTTTGATCAGTTTCATTCACCGTGTCCAGACACACACACCCGGTTCATTATTCACAGCAGCATGCTGACACGTACAGAATGTGTGCACTTTAGGCTTTCACATACACACAAATACCTTCTGAAATATAGTACCTCAGTTGTACAGGTTGTGTTGAGAGAAGAATCAAGGATCTTGAGGAGGCGGAACAGTTCACAATGATTACAAAAACAACTCAGCAGCTAGTAGAACAAACAAAGACAGACCGTCTAAGGTCAGCGTTACAGGAATGAACTGACACAACAGAATTAAAGGGTTCAAAGTCATTGCACGGCATCCATCTGCTCCTTCGCTGTTGGCCTTGGAACATGTTTAACACAGGAAGTTACTCAAAATATTTACCACAGAAATATAAACCCTGACTGGCTACTTCATTAGGTACATTTAGCTAGTATCATGTTGGACACCCTTATCTTCACCACTGACTATTTGTTCTTGGCCTAGCATCAAGGAGACACTTAAGAATGTCAAGCAGCTGATTCAGATTTGTCTGCTGCTGTCTGCCATGATGTGAACCTTCTATCCCATCAAATCCCAAATACATTCTATTACATTGAGATATAGTGATTGTTAATGCCATTAAAATACAAACAACTTGCCAATGTCCAAAGTGATGAACATGGCCCGCAACAACACTCGGGCAGGTTGTAGTAATAGTGATGCTTGTTAAGAACCACAGCTTCCAGGTGTGTCAAGAACGTGTATAGGCTAAGTGGTTAAAGGATCGGACTTGTGACCAAAGAAATGACCATTCAATTCCACCACAGGGCTGTCGTGTGTTGAACATACTCCCAAAACGCAATTGAGTACAGCTCCTGTTACACAGACAGGTTGAATGCACAGGACATAATTAATATATGGCAGGACATGTATGATAAAAAACGGCTTATTTACACCACCAGCTGTGGCCTCAACAAAAAAAGCCAATCAGGAGTTGTTGAAATACTGAACTACATCTGACAGCAGCAACCATTACTCTACATTCAACTTCAACTGAACGTTTCTTTACTCTGATGCTCAGCAGCATTCTTGACCATGTCTACACATTTGAACGCGATGAGCTGCTACCACGTGATTGGCCGATGAACGAAGCTGGGACGGTAATGGTGTCAATGAAAAGACAGAAACAGACCAGTAAAAAATGAAAACATTGAAAGCACATTAAGTAGAAATGTGCAGAGCAGTCAATGCCAGATTTCTTAAAAATATGACAGAGATACACTAAAAAATCAACACTCATGCAATAATAAAAGACAACTGCAACTTTCACACAATTTCAAAATACATACACCACACACAGACATCAGTTTAGGCTTTCTGACACATTGAGAGACAGTATTGTTTGTATTTTTAGTCGATTGCAAGTTAAGCTCTGAGATACATGTATCTACAGTATAAGTACATTTTGCATATTTGTTTAAGGAAACAATAAAGGAACAACAATTGCAAAATCCAATAACAGGTCAGACAACCTTAAAGAATGTCCAACTTCTCCTCTATAAACTCAGAGACCCTCCTCTCATCGAGCAGCCCGTTTCATTTGCAGACAGAAAGGGAGTCACAATCCTTTTCTAGCTCCTCCTGTGGCAACAACGCTTGATCTGAAGTGGCTTTTAATGTGTCGCTGTCATTGTTCCAGATGCTTAACAGCAAGTGAGGACCTTTTTAAAAAATAAATACAAATAAAATATAACTGTTTTGGTGAATATCCTTTACCCCTTGGCATCACCTGTTCTTGTCTGTTCATCAAAGTGAAATGTTAAAAACCAAATGTTTTTTTTGAGTGAGTGGCTGAGTGGCTGTTAGTGGGATCTGGTTGGATACAAACGGACCAGATACATGTTTGTGCCGAGACAAAAAGTGGTTGAGCGTTAGTGTTGTCGGCAAGCTATTTTTTTTCACAATTTGGGACAAAGTTCAATCTGGTTTTTTTTTTTGTATGTAAAGGAGCAAGTGGAGATGTGACACAGTAACCAATCAGCAGACAGGTGACTGTGACTCTGTCTGGACTTGCCTCTAAAGTGTCCCTGGCAGAAAAGCACAGAACAACATATATAACTGTAATGCTTTCCCACTGTTATCAGGATTTATTTGGCAAGATGTTGACTACAATTTGAATTACAAAAGTAGAGAAAACAAAATGTGGACAAAAATCCCCAATATAGAAAAATCAACTTCTTGTTCAGTGATAACTATCAACACATATCACTGTGGTTTTTCTGCAGCACTGCAATGAACTTTGTTCATAAAACTGTTATTCTTATTGAACAAATGGAATACGTTTACAAATCAGTACAACTACTGCAGAGTGGCACCAATGAAGAAAATACTGAATTTAAAATTAACTCACAAGCAGCTTGCTGCGTACCCTGGCAATAGCTCTGTGCCACCTAGGGGGCAGCCCCCCACTTTGGGAACTACTGGCTTACAGCATTTAATGCATTTGAACTAATAGTTGTCTGAGGAAAAGTCAAGGACAGAAAGCTGAAGAATATCCAAAAGGTAAAGTGTGTGATGAGAGTAAACCAGGGAGGAGGTTGTGATTGTTGACAGAATATTTGATCATTTCATATAGTATTGATTTCAATGGCTGTGTATTCTTAGACATGAGGTAAAACAATGGCCGAAGTCGATATCTCATCTATTTAACTGGACCACCATTGGTCTGAAAATATGTCTCTAATATTCTGTTTATATACAAAGTGCTTGAAACAGTGTGTCCCCTCTGTCAGTTTAAAACATCTGCTCCAACATCAATAAAGGCTTCACCTGTGACTTCCTGTTGTGCAGCAGTGAAACAACAGTTTCCTGGTCCACGTGGATAAATTAAAAATACAGTAATAATACATTAGAGAAAGGAAATATTTCTCTGAATATCCTGGTGCAAACTCTGCCATGCCTTAGACACAGACTACATCATGCCATTTGGGTTTTGTTTTATATACTATGTACGGGCAGACTATGGCCCATGGGCCCGATATGGCCAGTTAGGTTTTCTAATCCAGGACGTCAAACATTGACACAGAGCTGTCCATCTTATGGACACAATTCTTTTTTTTGTCAATGTTCAATCCAAAGCTACAGGTCTTACTGCCACAAAATGGAAAATAAGATGTGAAAAATGTCTTAAAGGACTGTTATTTTTTTTTTTACTAAAAAGAAAATCAAACTTTCACACAGAGCACACCTATGTTGTTTATCACTACGTATGTGTGAGTGCAGACGTTTACAGAAAAGAATGATAGTTAATTCCATCAACCAAACCTTAGGGGGACCAACAACACTGTTCCAACTATATATAGATGTAAGTTTCTTTGAATATCAGGTTTGATCTAGGACTTTATATTCATATTATTTCACAAAAACATTCTCCGTCCATCCGATACTAACCCAGCCCTGCCCGAGACCATTCAAAGTTCTAATTCATTTATACGTTTCATGTATAAATCACAAAAATATGTAACCTGTATTTGTATAGCAGCAGGAGAAAAGATTATTTGGAAAATAATTAGACTAAATGTGGTCTACGTAGTTCACAAAAGTGCTTAGAAATGTGAGTGCATTGTCTGTAAACAGTGATTAGTCACTGTTTGATTCTAATGTCCCTCATCACAATTATGCATAGCATTTGTTTCAGTGTGGAAATAAATGTTCACATCATAATTATTGATTGGATTGATTCACGTTCTCATCTGTCTGTTGTTTGAATTATTCTAATGTGCCGTTATGAGGTGAGAGCTTGTCAGCCGTTACACTGGGACAAGCATTTTTGGTCAATCAGTTTCTTATAATGCATTGCTCTGTACTTTCCTGTCAGCAGCCTGAGCTCTAATATTAGCTGCAGACTTATATTATATATTGCTAAAATGCTAAAAACAATCATATATATATATATATATATATATATGAGTGTGTGGACATGTTTCTGTCTTAGTCTTCTCATCAGTACTGAAACAATACTGTTTTCTCTATAAGCCACAGGGGGAGGACAGAAAAAGCTGTGCTGAGTTCACAGATAAACAATCCCTCATCTAAACTTGTCATCTCCAAACACACACTGTACCAGGAGGACCTCTGGCTGGATCATAGGCACTTTTTCAAGTTTGAGCCACAGGGGTTTCTTCTTCAGAACCTGAGAGACTTCAAACCTCAAGAATGGAGACCCATTAGACCCAAAGTTTCTTCCTCATCCTAAAAACCCAATCTGACCCTCGGACTCACTGAGTAAAGGGAAATGTCGCTCATAGGTTTAAACACAAGTGTATGATTCCATTGGGTTTTCTTTTTTTTTTTTTTTTAAATACAAATTTCAGTCCAAGGTCCAGTCTTCTCAAATACTTAGACCACGACCACACACCTGATGGCAGCATGAAATTCACATATATGACAAAAATATCTTGTTCTCCTGTTTTCCTAGCGATGGCACATTCACAGAAATTAAGCCACACACCACTTCACCGTGTCCTCCCCCTACAGGGCAGTATCATATACTTCCTGCTGTAGTATTTGTGCAGGACCAGGCCCAGGGACCAGGCTGGAGTGAAATGTGGGCGGGTGGGGATGATCCCACACAGGTTCTTTTAAAAAGGGTGCAGTTGACGCAGCAGAGCAGCCTGTGACAAGAGAGTTCTGGCCTTTGAGCTGCTCCCTCACCTCCTGCTCCAGACATGGAGGCACAATCAGCTGATCTTCAGGGTCCTGCTGTGCTGGGGCAGTGAAGTAGCCAGACTTTTTCTTGGGAGCCTCCAAGGCCACTTCAATAATATTATGACTGTCCTCGGGAGCTACTACAGAGCCGTTAGACAGCTTCTTCACAAACAAGTTGGATGCGGAGGGGAATTTCTTCAGGTCTGAAATCTCTCTCCCACACACTGCCAGCAAGCAGCCATTCGTAGCAGAAACCACGACATTGTTTTGTCCGCACATTTTGCCATTAGAATGGTGAAAGCTTCGTCTTTCATGGTCAATATCTTTAGGGCTGTCAGGGGAACCTGAACGTAACTGAAAAGCACAACAGTGAATGTCCACCTCTACTTCTAACTTACTGCCATTAGAGATGACTCCTTCAGGAGGGGCTTCGTCGTCACTGTCCAGGCCATTATCAGACTGATTACTGGAGAAAGTTGCACTGGAGGGCTGACGCTGAAACAGGCCTGGAAGAGTTCCTGCTCCAGTGGAACCAGGAACCATGATCCCACACAGTGTAGCAGCAGGATGAAGGTTACACCGCTTCTCCAGACGTGATGCCGAGCCAGATGATTGGTGCTCGTCTGAAGCTGTGGATCCCGCCTCACTGCCAATCTCAGAGGCCGAAGTTTCACTGTTGAATTCAGAGACAACACCACTGCTCGATGAGAGGCTCCCTGGGTCAAATGGACCCTGAGTCACCGACACAGGCACAGACACAGGGGTTGGACCACGGGGTTCCGTGGTGGAGAAGGAAGGCTCACAGGTACAGCTGTCCTCACCAACACGCAGCAACACCACCACAGCTCCAATGTTGTCCTTGCAGCCATAACTCTGGGCGAGTGAACCCAGTTTCTTGGCAGCAGCACGTGGATCTCGCACAGCCTGCACTGTGCACACAGCCTCCTGGTATGACACCCATTCAAACAGTGCACGGTTCCCTAAGATCAAGAACTCATCCTGAGAAGACAGAGGCTCAGTGTGCACCCAGGGCTTTGGAAGCACCCCTGGAGACAAGTAAGAACATCCCAGCAGGCGGGAACAGCACGTCACTCCACTCACTTTGTTATCCTATGGAGAAAAGGCGTCTTTAGGATTGCAGCGAATTGCATCATTTCCTGGCACTGGACTACATCTTTAAACGTCATACTTTAAATTCAAATATGTGTACATGTCTCTGGAGTAGGGATGTAATGATGTACTTAACTCACGATGCGATTTGATTCATGATTTTTAGCTCACGATATGATTTTATTACGATTTTTATCAAAAAACTTGAGCTCCAGAAACATTATAAACAATTTTTTTATTTGCAAATATGCAAATTCTTGCGCATTTGTAAAGATTCTTAATCGATTCTCGATGCACTGTTACATCCCTACTCTGGAGTATGAGAAGGAACCTTAGCAATTTTAGCTATGCATTACCTCAGTAATAATGGCTTTACTGCGTTTTACCCTGCCCATCTCCTCAGTGCAGTTTTCTAAGCTGTAAATCTTAGAGAGAGGCACTGGTCGACCATTTCGACACAACACCGCCTGACATGTGCCCACGTTGGCTACAGTAAGGCTGAAGTGACCTCCTGGATCTGACGGCTTACGGTGGATATAACACAGCAGGGCGGAGGCACCCAGTTTCTGACCAGCCATACCAAGTTTCCTGTTTCAGTGAAAAAGGAGCAGAGTTACTGATAAACTCCTAAAGACAGAATCTACGGTCTGGCTGCTGCAGTGACTGAACTGAACACTTACCTGTGTGAGGTGAGAAAGGTGTTGCACATGTACACGTTGTCAACGCTGGAGTGCTGCAGTTCTTCACAGAGCACGTCTCCCATTGTGCACTGCAGCAGCCGAGGCACTTCCTCATTACGGTCTCCATCAAATATGCCATAACAAGCCTCCATTTTATCCCCAAAGTGGTCAACGGTCAGCACAGACACACACAGCCTTTTACCAAAAACACATTCAAATTTACAAACTTGTATTTTGAGAATGGTTATGTTTATTTTATACATTAAGAATTTAACATTCACAAGCAAAATGAATAAAAGACGATTCACAGTCTGTGCTCACTTGTTTCTTTGGCCACTCATTTCTGAATAGCCGTGGTTCCAAGGAAGGGAGTCACTTGGCGTGTCTCTTGCTGCCATGGTAGATTTCTGGTCTAATTTGAGGGTGGTAATATGGCTGAAAGGAGAGGAAGTAGATGTTAAGCCTTCACCAGTGCATCTACATATTCAAGACTGACCATTTATATTGTGATATTCCTTAGAAATTCTGTGGTTTTGGTCAGGGGTGTGTGACACACCTGAAGAGATTGAGGGTCTTGTGTTCCAACACTAGGTTTTTGTTGCAGGTGAGGTCCAGCTCTTGAAGAGTTGAAGGCAGAGAGTCTGGCAGCTGGATCTCAGTCAGCTCATTACAGCTTAGGTCCACCAGCTAGAAATGCAAAAAGGCAAAACCTGTTGAGCCCAATTACACTCACGTGGTCAGATGAATAAAACCGGTTAAATCTGACCTTGATCTCAGGCAGGTTGAGGATCTCTGGGAAGACAGAGATGTTGTTGGAGTGTGCGATAAGAGTGTGTAGTCTTTTACAGCTGGACACGGTGGAGGGAATGGCCTTTAACTTGTTGCCACTTAGATTTAGTTCCTCCAGGTGCTCCAACTTACTCAGCTTACTAAAAATGAAATATGTGAAGCTTTAGTAAGTTAGATATGCCAGCTGCTTTTCAAAAATCCCTTAATAACAAGTTTGCAAACGCAACCCTGCTAACCTAGCCAAAAAAACCTTTAGATTTTAGTCGAAGCTACAGTATATGTCTTTTACTTTCTGCATCTGAACATGCTCAAAACATCATTACATGTGCTTTGCAACATGAACGGGTTACTAAAAAGCATCATTGAGAACAACTCAATTTTTCCTTCTCATTTAAAGGTACATTTAACTACTTTTTAACTATCATGAAAATCCCATGATTTTCTAATGAAAATGATAGAAAACAAAATAAATAGAGGAATAAAGTCTAAGGCAACTGACAAGAAGAAGAAAATTCAATTATTGAAGTGATTTTGGTTTGACAAAACAAATGAAAGCACGTTATTCTCCTACAGTGACTCGCTGACACAAAAGACAATGTAATTCACCTGGCAGGAAATGAGGTCATTTGATTGTATGCCAGGTGAAGGACACGCAGACTTTGATGTCCAACCACCACAGCCCCACAGTCTTCATTTAGGTTGTTTCCCGTTAAATAGAGTTCTTGGAGTGTGCCCAGGCTCTCCTCTGATTGGCTGCTTAGAGGAATGCTTTTCAGGTCATTGGCCGATGCATTTAGAAACTTAAGGCTGTAAATGTAGACGAATAATAATAAAAGCAAATGAATATACAATGTTCAAAAAATGAAATCAATCAATTTACCTTCTCTGTTAGGCACTGAGCTACAAGCAAATTTACCTTCTCTGTTAGGCACTGAGCTACATGCAAAATCTATTTCCTTAGGTCATGTCAGTGCACCGATATCTTTATGTTGCCCTAAGTTCTCAGAATTGCTGATGTCCCACCGAGTCAACAAAAATACGAAATATTATCTTCTACAGCCATGTTTTAGTCAGTGATGACATCTGCAGTATTTCAAAAGGATACATATGCAAAAGCAGTTAGAGCCATTATGTTTCAGCATGACAGACAGTAAAGTATATGCAAGCACTTCAACGGCTAATGGGTGTTAAGTGATTTACCACAGGAATAGAGCTAGTCAGTGAAGCTCCAGTTACGACCTGGAATGTTTTATTGATTATGACCACAATCCATATGTGTATACGTGTAGTTTATTCCACAACAGTCAGCCGCAATAAGCTAAAATAAAATAACAGGTGGCACGAACAAAGCTCCTCAACCAAAAAAACAGGCTAAATCAACTCAAATAGGCCTAAATAGTTTCGCTTATATATTTCAAGGAGAAACCTCTTGGAGAGCAGTGTCTGAAAGACTCACTTTAAGGCTTTGTAAAAAAGACTCTCAGGGAGTTCAGTCAGTTTGTTGTGCTGAAGATCTAGAGCTTCCAGTGGGACGTGGTCGAGCAGGTCAGGCACTTTCAGCAAACGATTGTTTCCTGCCAGCAGCTTTCTCAAACTCATACTGTTGACCAGTCTAACAGAGGCCAGAGAAGACGTCACAGATCATCAAAGAAACCAAATGGAACAGAGGATATCCACCCACTGTGCATAGTGTACTGTGTACAAAGCCAGACATTACTGTGTACTGGAATGAAACTAGTTTGTTGAAACAAACAGCATTATTGATTACATTAATATAATAATTAATTAGTGAAACCAGATATGTGGGCTTCAAATGCAAACTGACAGCTGACAGTCACAGAGTCACCGAACTGAAGTCACGATGGTTTGAGACAAATACGAAACATTCAAAAAGTAATAATAACCTGGACGGAAGCTCAGACAGCAGGTTATGTGCGATGTCCATCACCTCAATCTTTCTGCAGTCACACACCCAGTCCGGAAGGTACTCCAAAAGGTTCCTGTCTCAACACATACACAGTCACACAAACACACAGTGAAAACACTTAAACACACACACGAAGCAGAGTCTGATCTGTTCAAACTGACAAGACGCTTAAGTAAGGTTTTTTTTTTTTATCTCTGGACTGAATGAAATCAAACACTGCCCCGACACTGTGACGTGGACTGTACTGTGATTCCATTACAAGTACAACTCAATGTGAAATAATAGAACAATGTGTGCAATACTGTGTTCACTTCACTTCAGGTACACTGTTTTCTGACACATGGTTTATAAGTATACTAGTTTACGTTTATTAAAGTGTTATCACTGAAAAAGCTTGATGTCTCGTGTATTGTCTTAAACACCGTGTCCTTTGCAGACAGAAATTTAAATGTACAACTTGTCCTTCAACACTGGAAAAGGAATGCTTCTCTGGTTGTAATTAATTTAACTTGTGCAAATACTGCAACTAATCTCTGTGTTTGTAATTTCCTGAGTTATGCTTTTAATTAAAGTGTGTTACAACTGAGTTAGCAGGCGACCTAACACAACCAAAGGTTGCCTCTTATTTCCAGGCAGAACTCACTGTGACAGATCCATGTGTGTCAGCTGATTAGGAACTGGATACACACAGACTGCTGTTAGACCTGCGGGCAGATTAAAGGCACAATATATGAATGTACATGTACAAAAAAGAGACAAACGTTACTGCAGGAGGAACACACACAGAGAAAGGGTAAGAGCAAGGCAAAGGCTGCAGCTGTTTCATGCTCTGTTTGACTCACGATTGCTGCTGGCATGAAGCATGCGCAGGGTGAAACCACTGAGCGTGAGTTTCCCCAGCTTGTTGCGTTGGCAGTGAAGAGTCTCCAGGTTGCACATGGAGCTCAGGTCGAGTGAGTCCAGGTAGTTGTCGCGCAAGTCCAGCTGGGTCACTTGGCCTACAACCTCCAGACTCTCACTGTTAACCCGCTGCAGCTCATTCAGCCTGGGTTTACACAGAAGATTTTTTTTGAACATTTTATAAATATACATACACACATATATATATTATATATATATATATATATATATAGAGAGAGAGAGAGAGAGAGAGAGAGAGAGAGTATTATATACTCCTCAAAACAGATTCCCTACCTATACCTATAAGCAGAAACTTCAGTTCTAGTCTCATCTCTTGACCTCATCCATCCTGTTAATAAACAACCTCTGATTTTTAAAAGCTGCCAGTCCAATAAATGCACTTCAACATAAATGCACCTTGCTCACTGCCACTGCCAAACCCACATCACTTTACTGCCTAGGTTTAATTATTTTTTGGCTTTGAGTAAAGCAGTGGTTGCTGGCACCATTCTTAGACTACAGCCAGTAGGATGGTTCCTATAAATACATTTAAGACTATTTACATAATGGTAAAAAGAAGAATACGTGTTTGACTGACACATACATGGAGGTAGAGGTACAGTTCTTGCTGGGAGCTGCTTTTCACCTGGCTTGCCTCTTACCGGAGGTCAATGTTTTTCAGGTTGGTCATCCTGGCAAGAGTACACAGCTCCAGAGACTTCACTCTGTTCCCAGCCATAGCCAGCTTGTCCATTGGACTCTCCAGTCTCTCCAGCACGGCAGGGATGTGAGAGAAGTTGTTGAAAGAAAGCCCCAAGCTGTTGAGCTGGGACAGGCCACCCAGCTCTGCAGGCAGCGAGCTGAGGTGGTTTCCATCCAAAGCCAGTGTCTGCAGGCTGAGAGTTTAAACGAACACAGCAACAGTTGTTGTCTTTTATTTCAGGAAAAAAATGTCCAAATATTATTTCCATCATTTTGCAGTTTATTAGGTGAACAGAGATAAACAAGATTAGAGTGGGTTATGGTGTTTGTAGCAGACCTTTGAAGGGAGCCTATCTGCTCTGGAACAATGTGTATGTTATTGCACGCGAGGTTGAGCTCTGTCAGAGTCAGGATCTCACACACACACTGAGGAAACACACCTAGACGATTGTGAGACAGGTTCAAGCTTTTCAGCTGGGAAAACCTAAAACAGAGAAAGGGGAGAAAAAACATCCCTCAGGAGTTACTTAGCAAATACTATGGACATTAGTCATAGTCTAAGTATCTGATAAAACTATAAGCTGATCATAGTATCAGGAGCTTTATTCTAATCTTCTATAAAATGCTGTTGCCCAGTCTTGTCATCTGATGATATCTCTTTACCAGATATTCATCTTTAAATACGGCCATTGTCTAAATTCTGTTTCCTTCCTATTTTCTAATTCTGTGGAGAATAATTGTGCCCTTGGTCGAAAAATGGTAAAAAGAAAAAGTACAAAACATTTTGCTTAATTTGACAGAACAGCCGATAGTAGCATTTGCTTATTGCTAATGTGCAAAATTCATGTGTGTGAAAACTGAAATAATGAGAAAGAAAGACATTTTCCATTTATATTTCTTACTCGAGCCTCACTAAGACAAACACTGTTTGCCTCAGACAGCATTTCCAGCTCTACACCCTCATATCTTTTTTCCATCACTGGATGTTTGTGTAAATCTCTCCAGGTGAAGGATGTGTGATTACTTGGGTAGATTAAGCAGTCCTCCGGGTCCCTGAAGGCTCATGAAGTTGTGTCTCAGGTTGAGGTGAGTGATGTCCTGGCAGTAGAACAGGTATTCAGGCACTGCCTCCAGACTGTAGCAGGACAGATCCACCACGCTCACTGTCTGAGACACCACCTGAAAAGAAAACTGCAGCACATCAGCAGTTGTTTCCACAAACTTGGACCAATGTTTTTCCTTCTCTACCATTCACCACCCAGCAGCAGCCGTTCTGCTTCTGAAGTTGCACTCATGTGTCAACAACAGTTTTGTTTATATGACTTTAACTAAACCAGTTACCAAAGTTAGGGCTGTACGTCCCCCGGGCTACAGAGCTGCTGAACTAAGACAGATTCAATCTCAAAAAGCAACAGCTTTTTTTTATAAATACAATCCAACCTAACATTACAATTAACAGAGCAGAGAGATAATGAACAGCACTATCCTGAATAAAGACGAGCAACTAACAGTGTCGCTGTTGAAGTGCCTTAGATACTTCTATCACTGCAGCAGTCAAAACACAAAACTTACTTTAACACTACTTAAAAAGTAAGATAAAAATACTTAAATAAAAAACACCCTTTATAATTTCTTCTTGAATACATTTCTGACTCACAGTATATTAATTAAAAAAATGTAATGTTGTGGAAACAAAATATATCATTCATTTTATGGAGACATTTCAGGAGTCCTGAAATTGCAGAGATCTGCATTTTTAAAATATATAGATGAGATTTAGAAAAGAAATGGTGTCAGAAACACAAAGGAGTAATACAAGATGAACAACAGTAAAAGAAATCTACTTGAAGCTGCCTCTCACAAGTTTCTTTTTATGGATGGTTCCGGATGATTGGATGATGCAGAAGGCAATCTCAGATTAGGTGAGATTAATGAGAACAACAGAACAGGACATCAAACATTTCAGGGTTTTTCTCTTGCTAACCTTCGATGCCTGTCGATACCATCTCTGGTAATTTGTTAGTGTATCGAAGATGACAAAATAGGTCTGGGCCTGTGATCCAGCTGAACTAAACATCAGACAGTGCTGTCTTCGCTTCACTTCCTCCACCTGAGGCAAAGGTATGACAAAGAAACAAGAAAGAAAGAACAACGAAGGAGAGATAAACACACAAAATGAATTAAATACCATACATTAGTGTTCTGTTTTATTACAGCTGTAAGGCCCTAAGGATCATATAGTCCTTAAAAAAGGGTGGTGACACATGGGCTGTACAGACAAAGAGATAAGACCTGTTATTTTAGATGACATCATTCTGCAAATAAACTAGTGGTTCAAGACTCAAATCCTTTCCAGCTGCTCAAACCAGCTGTATCCATGCAAAGCATCCATACTCAGCGTGAAGCATACAGTAGTCCAGGGGAAAGTGAAAAGTTAGCCCTAGGTCAGTTTCACTGATGACTAAACACTGATCTCACCTTTCCCCCCACCAGGGGTAAGATGTGCAACTTCCCTGTCAGGCTGTCTTTCACCGAGGCCACGATTAGACAGGTGCCACACAGGATGACCTTTCGCTCGGCCCACTTGTGTAGTTGTGTTTTGCCCTTCCTGACACTGAATACGCCTTTCAGAAGAGTGCGCTCCTGCTGGTCTGGATTAACTGGATGCTCTAGAAGAAAGAAGACCACATACAAGGGTTAGTGTTGATCTACAGTGAACGATCCCATGCAGCACGATCTGACCCTGTGCTGTTATAAACCACGTTGATCGATAGCAAATGTTCTGCAGTAAAAACCTAAAGTGAGTCATGCAGATCTCCACAGGTCAGGATGATATCACACAATTACTCATTAGCATAATGATTCCAGGAACTGGTCGTCACCAGCAGTGAGGATGGACACAGCCCTATTACATCACTGGCTGTGAACTGAGCTAACTGCAAAACAATTAGTTTGATCTTTGAACAAGGAGAGATGTTTTTTTGTTTTTTTTATATTAAACTCATTAAAATGATTCCAATAAAAGGATTCCTTAGGAGCAGCTAATGCTGCTGCTGAAAACAGTGAGCTTGAAGACTTCAAGCTAATGTTGGTTATGTTATTAAATTATTATTAGGACAACCAAAACAGTCACATTCATGTATTTCACGATCTAGACCCCTTGATCATTTAAAGGTCGCAGGCTAATCCCAGCAGTCATTGGGTGAGGGTGGGGTACACCCTGAACACTCCCATCACAGATACAACACCGCTGCAGATACTGTAGAGACGAACAACCATTCACACTAACACTCATACTTGTGGTCGATTTGGTGTCCAGTTCATTCACTTCTGCCTGTTTTTGGACCGTAGGAGGAAACCATAGCACCCTGAGATTACCATGAGAACACACTAGCTGTACAGAAGGACCAATCACCAGTTGGGACCAAAGCAGAAATGTTCTTGATGTCAGCCAAGAGCATTAACCCCTACATTATAAAATGTAATGCAAAATGGTTTCTTGCTGGACAGAAAATCGACCAAATCTTCTTTTATATTTGATTTACAAACATGACATCAAGATTAATGACCATTCGTGTTTAGATCTATGGCCAAACTACAGCCTCAGAGGGAGCTGCTGCAGATTTAATTTGCAACTCAACAGTTAGTGTTCACCATTGTCTGAATCTCTTCTTCGTGACGGGCCAGACATTTTACAAATGAGACAGAGCTGGACTTCAGGCGGTCTGAATCTGGTTCAAGAGTCTTATTTCATTTTAGCTTGTAGTTATTATTGGTGAATTCATTGAGAGAAGATAATCATCAGCAGCAGCAGCAGCAGCAGCAGTGAATTTAAAACCCATTTAAGACATTTTCCCATTTTATCCATCCATGTTCCATCCATTAATTCATGTTCACTCAATTGCATTAAGTAACCACAACGCAGCCAATCATCACTGGTGCCGTTCTTTTCTGTTGTGGTGCACATTCAGTGCAAAAGGCCCAGATCTGGGACAGAAACAATATTTCCAAAAAATCCTGATGGCTGTTTGAGGATAACATGCTTGTAAACTGAAAAACTGCACTGAATGCATCAAAGTGCTTTTGCTCTTCTGTTATCATTGCAACCACCTGTTAAAAGCATTGGCCTATTTAGGCTGCTGTCATAAAATCAACTTCCAAAACAAACACGGGTCTGTTAGGCTGTTAGTTGCCAAGGGAACAGCCTGCACGCTAAAATCAAAGTCCAATGTGATTTGTGATTTGTAAACGTCCAACAACCTTGAACTTGTTTGAAGAACAAAAATCAGCCTCATCAAAGAATGACAATAATTGTTGACCTTCCCAGTGTTTTGTCCAAGTGGAGGACATCTGGAGCACCAGAGTGAAACGTTCTACCAGGAAATGCTGCCAAACCACAGGGACAGAGTGAGAAGTAACAGATTAGCTAGACAGTCAACAACTTGTTGTTTGTCCTTCTCTGTTCATCCTTGGTCTAGTTGTGGCAGTTGTGAGAATCAGAATGTTACATGAAACAGAGGATGGAGCTAAGGTTAATTAACACCAAGTAATAAACCTAATCCTCATGGGTAAAGAACCTGTTATCCTCTGCTACTATCCACCTTGTCAGACATCAAGATATTCTGCGGACTTCAAACTCCAGGAAAACAGGGCAAATTAGTCCTTCAGAGCGTTTATTCTTTTAAAGGATTTCTGAGAAAGGCCTGCTCGGTGCAGAGCTTTCGAGTATGAGGCAATTTCGTGGTATCACGGACACAAATATAATTTCATATTAATAACTAATATATTATTCTGACTGCTTCTCTGCTTCTGGTCTATCAGAACCAACTCCTTACCCATCTAAAGTATTCATTAGAGGTTTATTTATCTCCAAAAAATCAGCTGTCGCCAAATCAATAACCTATCAGATGAGTCATACTGTTCATAATAAGATGTTTTCTTTCTGCTCTGTGCATAACTAATATGCTGACCTGTTCTGCACACAGCAGTTTCAGGTCTCTGTAAAAAAGAGGTGAGACAGAAATCACCCAGTGGATGAGGACCATTGCTTACAGTGGGCCTGGTCTCGGCCACAGTAAAAATGCTCCATTTTGTTTCAGCAACAGCATCTTTTCTACTAAGTCAGCATTTATAACAGTTTACTTGCTGGCCCTTTGTTTAGATCTCAGGTGTTCACCGCAGTAGGAGGTGTTTGTATAAGACAGTCAAGAGTTTCCTGGACGATAAAAAAAAAAGGATTATGAAGTTAAAATATTTGTTAGTTGTTTCAGTTTGATCTGAGAGAAAGTTTGAACAGAAATAATGACAGGTCCTTCTACACATGGAAAATCAGCATCTTATTACAATATGCAGATAATATAAACCTAAGTCTGGAGCAAATTGTCCAAACTAGATGTTTTTAAATCGCAGGAAAAAGTAACTCATGGTAAAAACTATTACATCAGTATGGTAATGGAACGGCCAAATGAAAAGTCTTGTTGGCTTTAGCCTAGGACTAGAGAAGTCTGATTTCAAGTCATGCTCACTTTCTGGCCTTTTTATTCCCATGATTTATTTATGATTTATTCCCTCCAAAGAAAACGAACTCCGGACATTGTACCCTGATGTTCGACACTAGCCAAAAGATCCAAACAAGAAACAAGCCACAGTTCCGTTCGGCCACACACAAGGACTCGGACCGAGGCTGAAACCACAGCAGTCTCACAGCTTCACAAGTGAAGTAAACATCCGCTTTATTATAATGACAACAAAGGTTGTATTATTTTACAAAAATGTTTAACAAAAACACAGAAAAACACACAACATAATCTATATGTTGCTCAAAAATCATTCTGAGACTCAAATCCCATAAATATGAGGAGGCCATTTAATTTTACAACTACAGACAACTGAATTTGATCTCACATTTGGTTTATACTTGTATATATGTCAGAATTGAATACTTTAATACTGCTATTCAGTGTAAGGATGGATGTAATACATGTGTCTTTGGCTTCATTTCAGACTAGCTAACTGCTAACTATTCCTCTTTAAACTTCTCTTCAAGCAAAACAAACATTTTTGGTTAGTTTGTTAACTACTCCAAAGTTAACTATACACTTAATAGGGCACTAAATCCTTGTCATGTGAATTTCAATAATGTTTTTACATATTTAAGAAGCCCTTTTGCCCTGTGTTTATGATGTTGGTATGGAGAGTTTGAACTTTAATCACTGAATGGTGTGATCCTTATAGATGTGGTGAATTATTGACATGAGAGCCAATGAATTATTCAAAAAACCCATTCAGATCTTTGTGTGTTTATGTTCCTCGTACTTTTTATTTTACCCTTAAAAAATGAAATTACTCACTAAAAGTACACACACACATATAGTACATGCACACCCACACATCCTGTAAAATCAGAAGCTGTTAGAAACTGTCGTGAACCTTACACCAACAAAACAACCTCCCAGGTGACACAACAAGCCAGGTCAAGGCTAACAACATTCATTTTATGACCGCCTAGCTGCTGTCAAACTTAACTTTAAATCACTTAACCACTGGACTCTGTGTGTCTGATTGGCTTCAGGTCTATAATCTGAGATTAGGATTCTACAAGCAGCATTAGAAAGTAATGATTTCGGACACATGTGACCTGCTGCATAGGTGCCAATTCCATGGGTGCTTTGGGGTCGGAGCACCCACCGAGACTTCCGAACACCCACGTGCAGCGTGCACCCAACAGCAAAAACATACATCTGGACTCACCACTGTAGAAACGGATCAAACAGCTGAGGTCAGCGTTAGCTGCTTCCTGCTGCACCCGTACGGGGTCTGCATAGCCCATAGTTGTCAAATAATCGTAGAGAATCTGGAGTGGACGTTCAGACGGGTCTAATCTCCTGAAGTGAAACAAAAGAAAGGTGACAATGTGAAATACTATTAGTTTATTTTACATTAGCACATATTTATATGACATCATAGACTTGTCTTTTTATTAATACAAACGATTGATTCCTGTAGAGAAAGTCTCCAATATGGACTTCTGTATTATTAAAATAAACCCTGCTTGGTAATAACTTTCTGTTTGACTGTAGTTTCACTGCTACCGTAAACCATCACAGCCAATCCAGGGGCTTATCATAAGCCGTTTTATATGGCATTCCCCAAAACTGAAGCTTGAAGCTCCATTACAGGCCTTTAAAGTTAATATGTCCCATATGTTAGTGGTTAAAACAAACTATTTAACCAACCATAATATCAAAAGCATGTCTGTCTCAGCCAACAAGTCTCTTCAGTGATTAAGGTAATGTCAGTTAAATTTTACTGCTGGTGTACACGTACAACTGCACACAAAAATACAGCAGTTGAACTCTTGAAACTCCCTTTTGTAAGACGTTCACATATCAATATCAATAAACCAGCAATAGATTCTGACACCTTTAATTAAGGTGTGTCATTTGCTATTTCTGTCGACATGCGTCTGTTGAGTTAAGAGCAGCATGTGGCCATTTCCTGGAGGATATACAGTTCAAATGAAATGTTGAGGGTCTATTTTACTACCTTTATATTTATTACTGTATTTTATAGTATTATTGGATGCTAAAGCGAAAGGTTCAGGTTTAAAAGTCATTAGTGTGTTACAAGTTTGGTTGTATTGCTACATGAATATCATATCAAACCAAACTGAAGACACACAGGACATTTTTAAACCCTCTACCTGATTAGATCTCCATGCAGCTGAACATAGAGGCCGTGTCCATTCCTCTGAGCGCACAGTTCCTCCACAGTGGTGCTGGTGGAACAAAGGACCAACTGCAGGTCTGTCTGTGGAGTAGAGGAACTTTGCGGGCCAGGAGTTGGTGGCTGAGGGTCCACTGTGCCCCCATACAGACACAAGCAGCCCCGCTGCGTGTCCCCCTTCAGCCACTCCCGCTCCCGTGAACCAAATCTGGTCTTTCGTGTGACACAGCTGCGATTCCCGTTCCGCTTCATGTTGCGCTGCTGACACAAACAAACCAAGTTTATCACACAGGCACTGAGGACATCATAAGTACTCATCAGCAAGTCTAATAGCCTTGGAGTACCTGCAGAGATTCAAAGTCTATACATTTGGAAATGTAGGATTATTCAGGCTCTTCTCATGCATCCTTCCATGCTGGTGAAATGAGCTACCGTTCACCACCAGAACAGGGGCATCTCTGCCCATTTTCAAAAAGTTCTTGAAGACCCAGCTATTCAGAGAGCACCTCCAGCCCCTAGCACGTTCCTGTACTTCCCTTTTGTTTCTATGGCAATATGTAAGTTTTCAATACTACATTATACAACATCCAGAGCAGCCTTTTATGGAATTTGTCTTGGGTCTGTGTTGTAGTCTCATGCACTTCCACTGTACACAGTGAGGCACTGGGGCCTGTTCAATGATATGTAGTGTTAAACTTTTACTTCTGTAGTTGGAATTGGTCTTCTGGATGTGATTATAGAACTATAAGGTCAAACAGGAGTGCTATCATTCCAGTTAGAGAGACGGGGGATGTGACAAACCAAGGGCAAAATTCCCATCCTGGGCTCAAAATGATTTGCTGCCATGAAAGTAAGTAAATTGCCTCCACTTCCCTTGTCATCTGTTGTCATTTTCTGTCTGATTGAAGCACCCAGTCACTACTCACTGCTGCGGCATCACTCACAACTGTCAGCAGGCGTACGACCCAGACAGCTGTGTCACTGTGTGACTTTAGTAGAGTGACACTCATTAGTGATTAGTCAATATACTCTAATGTCAATGCAGATCTCTCTGCGTAAAACACTTCTCTCGCTAGTACCTCGAAAATATGAGAAATCACATGTGTGTAAAGGATGAGGCAAATAAACAAATCTGTCAAAGTGACTGCATGTTGGTGAGCTCAGCACAAAGAACACTGAAATAAGCAGATTCTCATGGTGTGCTTTTTTGTCCTAATATCACTTTTCTATTACACTGTTAAAATCAGCATCTCTCTACGTGAAAGACCATCAGGAAAATGTTCTGATTTATTACATTTATTATACATTATTTTGATTTGCAGCCAACATGATGGTTAATAGGACCTTAGTCAAGCAGACTGAACAAAATATATCACTTGTGTCTTGATTCCATCCAATGAAGGGAAACGTCTTATGGAGACACACCCTACAACAACGGCTGTGCCGAGGCATGTGTGCTGTGAGAGATCATCAAGTATTCCGTTGAAAATGTTCCAATTTCACTTAATTGGCCTAAAATTGATCATTCGTTTACTGCTGATAATTAGTGGTTATGATAACGCAAAACAATAAAATATTCGTCCACTAGGTGGCAGTAAATTAACTAAAGAGAGACTCCCAGTATATCAGCACTGTGTTCAACAACAGTTTTCACAATAGATAAGTAAACTGTGATTCATGGGATTTGTTCTAATGTGACATATGTGCTGTGGCTTAAAAGGGTTGGGAAACACCAACCATCTGTGTCACTGTGACCATGCACATTATAAAAAATAAAACTTTAGCTGATATTGTTTGTGCATTTTGTTTTCTTTTTCATTCCATTTCATGTATAAAAAACACAAAATATGACCTAAGTCTAATTTAAAGTCTTCAGAAGAATTAGGAATATGGTGCAAATTATGGGAAATTTAAGTTTGGATAAGAATATGACCTTAAGGTCAACACTGCTTTAAGAAGTTTTACTAGAATCAATGACAGAATGCTTTGCTAAAGGGTTTGAAGTAGATATAGGGTTGGGTTAGGCCAAGTGGCTGGGGAATACCTCAAGTCTCTTAGTACACTAACAACCACCGTTACAAGTGTAACCCCATCCAGCCCAGGATCTCTGAGGTACTGTCAGTGATTTTTCATTAACTGTGGAATGGACCAAAGCCTGGTCTAATGAGGAAGAATCTTAGTTCCAAGGCCATACTTATAGTTCGGATAGAGATCTTTTTATTCACGTTTGGTAAATGGTGTGGTAATACAGCAGACTCTAACTGGTTAAGGCTAAGGACAAGGTTCGAATTAGTTCATAAACAGTAATGAATGGACGTCTGTACATGATTAGCTGGTGTATGTGTGTGTGTGTGTGTACGTTAAAAGGATGTGATCCAAGCTTTACTGCATGACAGTCTTCTATTTACTAGACACAGATAAATGAACAACCAAAGATGTCAGTTCGCCTGATCTAACTATCGTAAAGGAACGAATAACTACTGCATGGAAACCTTTTATAAAAATAAAAACTTGTCAGACAGCCGAGACAGTCCACAGATTCAGTATTTCTGTCGACAACTCGGTTTCGGTTCGAACCACCCACTGACTGCATCACAACACCAGAACCCTTTCCGTATGACTTACCTTCAGCACTCGGATCCCGGTTACAGCGGGAGCTCCAGAACCACTGCGGCTGCCGCGACCTGCACCCTGGTCCTGTCCCGCTGGCTGCACCATCGTGTCGGGCTGCCTGTCTATGCAAGCTCCGGCATCTCCTCCTTTCTGGATGCCCGTTTGGGTCTTAGTGGCAGCGGCTGCTGTGTGACTCTCCTCGTCCTCTATCGCCATGTCTCAGCCCTGTTATCAGCGACACAAACACATTTCTGTCGTCCTGCTGCGTGACTGGCAAATTCCCACGGAAAAGTGAAAATCCATCCCGCGTTGCGACGCCATGTCCAGACAGAATTAAAGCACTGTCAGAGGCCCGTCCACGAGCGGATCAATAAACATGACAGGGGCGGAGTCAGGCTCATTACCATTCAGTAGCGTTTACAATACACGTTTATCACATACTGGCACCGGTATATGTACGTCTTAAACTGTGTACATATTTGTTGTTTGATGTTGTACTACATGTCTTTGCTGAACTGTCACTGACGAACGACGTATTCACGGATAAAATAAAAAAATACTCCTTTGTAAAGTGACTCACGATTTAATCGTTGACTTTTTGCCATACTTGGCTTTTAACTATGTTTAAAAGTGATTAATCTCACCTAATCTAATTTCACAAACATATTTCAAACAGAAGAAATAAACACCATCGAATGTTATTTCACATTAAATTCAAATTTTAAGGTGTGTTAATATGTAATTTGTACCTCCGGTTACAGGAAGTAGAAAAATAAAAGCTCAAGTTTCTGCTCGCGTACTACGTTCTACCACATAAAAGCAAATGTATCATGAAATGTTTCAGCGACAAGAAGTTATCAAGACACGTACATCATGTTTAGAACATTCTAGTTGGATGTTACTGGGTCTTAAATCCTGTTATGCTTACACAAGATCACATTTAATGGCCATTACACACAACTTTACTTTCAATATTACAACTTTCATACTGTATTTTTCTTGATCGAGTAAATAGGAAATGTTAGTGTTTTCAGGAAATCTACTTACAATCAATCGTTCCCAGGCATCGGTCCTCTCTATGGATGAAGTATATACAGTACATAACGTTGATCCTATAATTAAACAATGTTGCAGAAGCATCATGGATCCTTTTCATTCATCTAAACACAGCCCCAAGACAAAAACTACAATAGGTCCAATATTTTATTGGAGTTTTCTTTATTTGCTTGATCATTTTCTCCAACCCAAAGACAACAATACACAGCATAAATTGAAAATATCCCATTTAATAGTTTACAACTTTTCATCTTCCATCATTTTTTTCACACTTTCAGTCTGACATTCACACCTATCTTTAAGTCAATAAACTGGACGATTCCAGTTTAACATGTCAAACCTGACTGGGGGGAAAAGTGTACCTTATGCTTCCATCCTCTTTCCCAACAAATCAGACAAGATACAGTTTACAGTCAGGAAGAGCCTGCGGGGGTTACAAACATCTTGTTTTCAAAATGGTTGCTTGATTACACAGGGAAACTCAACATTGTCCTAATTTTGATCCCCTTTCAAGCCCTTAACACACTGAATTCAACCAAACAAATTCTAAAGAAAATCAGTAATCTGAATAATCCAAATGATGAATATGCACTTTCAACACCCTTGTAAAAACAATAACAGTATTTTGAGCACTATCTGAACACCTGTCCATTGAACAGGTTATTCCTGACTAATGAAAGTGGTGCGACCAATTTTATTAAATGAATTTCTTGCATTTCAAAAAGAATCTCAGATCAAGAGTAGAAATGGCATTATTTACACTGGTTTTCACATGCAGCTCAGCAGCTGAAGTTGAAGTTGCAGCCAACGATGTCCTATTAAGTTAAGACATTTCACACATGATCTCAAAAATATGTTTACACTCAACTCACACACAGTAATAGATCTTTAAATTGGTACGTACTTCTTCATTTTAAATGTCCAAAGCACTTATGTTGGGTTAGTTTTCGTTGTAGATTTAAAACTGCAAGAATTATTGTTCATCTGTGAATAAATTCAGCGCTTCTGATAAACTAGGGTACCTGATGGATGTGACAATGCAAACCACTAAGAAAACTATGCTGAATAAAATGCAGGAAACGTTCCCTACACACCCAATAAACCTTGTTTTAGGACATCTCCCTCTTGTGGTTATAATGTTGTAGCACAAGCCACATCCTGACGGCATAGAGCTGGTCAAGACCCCATTTTTCAGACTGTAGCATCAGAACAAGTGCATGTGTCATGATGTCCAAATACATTGGAAACAGGATGGAAACAAAGAAAATGCAGAAAAAATGCACTGTTCTGCTCAGGACGCTGCGGCTCCATTTTACATATCAGTGACCTTATAAAGGTGTGCTCCATTTTATACATACTAGACATGGGGTAGTGAGCCACAGTGAGGACAGAAAACGCATTGTGTAGCATGAGTAGTGGCTTTGTCAGGTGAAGACATAGAGCTCTTGGGAAGGTGCTACATGCAAGACAAAGAAATAATGGGCAACAAAGGAAAATAGCAATGCCAAAAACCAAAAGGGAGTTCCTACAAATCAACTGTTGGCTAAAAGAGTTGTCAAAGAAATAACAAGGAATCACATACAAGGCCAAAAGGAAGGGAGGCAACTTGGCAGGTGTTGAGACAGTGGAAGTAAGGTGCCACTCCTGCTGCTATGCAGAACTGTGCTTAGAATTCTCAGTAGTACAGAGCAACTGCTAAGATAGACTCAACCTTTACGTCGTCAATCAGGGAAACCAAAACTAAACTCTCACTAATGTAAATTAAGCAAATGTGACAAGTAATAGATGAAGTATGAGGAACAGTGAATCAGATGAAGTGCAGATCAATTGCATCATTTTTAAGATTCTGTTTTGTACATAATATGCATACAAGTATAATCCCTAGCTAATCTTTTAATTCTTATTTGGGGTTTTATTTTATCTGAGCAACTCTGGTCTGTTTTACAACTATATACAATGTACAGGCAGCGGATCATATATCTTTTACAACCTGTTATTGATGATACAGGGAGGTCTTAATTAACTGATGATGACTCCATCTATGTAGACAATATACAGTGTGAATATTTGAAATTTTAGAAAATGGTATCTAAAAAAGAATGAAAGATAGTACAAGAGACAAAATAGTAAAAGCCCTCAATATGTACAGAAAAAAACTGAAAAAAGTGAAATAATTATTCTTCATATACACATTCCCTAACTCAAATATATTTTCAAAGCTAATAATCTCTCTGATTTGGTCACAGAAGTTAGAAGATAGCAAAGCAGAAGAGAAAAGATGTATACAGCCTGAATGAACCAGAAGAGATCTCCTGACAGCAACACACAGCTGTGAGGCTAGTGAAGAAATGAGATGTGCAAACTATCCCCAGTTCCTCTCATGCAGATGCTTCCCTTGATCGCAGTTCACGATTAAACAAAGCTATTGATCTACTGTCACTGAAAGTGATAAGATTTAAGGGTTACTGTATCCCCAACTTCAACATCAGAAGCGTACTCCAAGGGGAACCATGAATCAAACCAAAGGCAATTAATCAATCAACACAGAAAGAAAAAACAACTGCAGTACCTCAAACGACATGATGACTTGGGTGAGGAAATTGGAACATTTACACTTTTTAAAAACCTCCATGTCAATTTATGAAAAGTTTACATCTATTAGCTGCCACTGTATTTAAAATTTGCTTCATTTTTAATGAGTCATAAACAACAAACAGGTGTTTTAAATGAGTCTACAACACAGCACAATAATGGGGAGGATGGTTAAAATCATAATTGTATTATTGGGATTTTTTTTCTTCAAGAGAAAAAAAATAGAATGATAAGCAAGACGACCATGATTAACTAATTGGAAAGAAGATTTGGAAAAAGTAGGAACTTGCTGTAGTTATGTGATATAGAGGAACATTTATCTCAGGTTGCAAACACAATCAGCACACTGGCAAACTTACAGGGCTCATACAGAACTGCACAGCCAGGGGAGCTTTTGTCATGCCAAGTCAGAAAGGCACATCACTTTGATACCAGGCATAAATAACTAAGTCAAATTACTGCAGAAACTGATTTCACAAAAATAGTGCTAAGAAGACAAATATCCTCGTCCAAGAAGACAGCCATGGGTAAAACAAAGACGAGAAAAAAGAGAGAAAAAGCATTCAGTGCATGTAACTACATTCATAATGAGCTTCATTTACATATATGTGCATGGCTCAACCAGGATAAATTAATCTGAAATGTATCTTAACTTCAAGCCAGACTCTGAGGACAGAGATGTTGAGATTCGTTTTAGAGTTTTTAAAATTATCCCCCAACATAAATGCAATTAAACATGTTTTTTAGATCAATTTTAGGCTGTGCACAGAAATCAACTGGTGAGTTTAATATAAATACCTTAAACTAAAGCTACAAGGTCAGATAAGAGCTGGGTGGGGAGGTCTGAGAGGTCAAAGGTCATCTAACCAGGCATCTTGGATCGGTTCATGCTTTAGTATTGCAACTACTTCCCACGGACCCATAGGATTAACTGCTTACTGCGCGAGCCTCCTCTGATGTCAGATCAATGTGTTTGTGATCCTAAACAATTCTTAATCATGTCTAAAGCATGTATTGATTAAGCAAGTATTGCAATTTAAAGAGATAAACAACTCTGACAAGTTATATCACTAATGATACGGACGGTCAAAAAGGGAAAAGAGTAAATAATTCTGCTGCCATCAGTGGTATTGAGGTTAATTTAAAATGTCTGAAGCCAAAAGTCAAAGCCAATCGTGAATGTTACTAGATTAAAGCATTTAACCTGTAATTCCAATTTAAATACAAATCAAAAATAGAACTACGAGTACTGCATCGCTCAGGTAGGGCAACTGTTCTCTACAGTGATGTGAGGTGTGTGGTAAGCTGTACCACAGTGACTGATGAGTGTGCTGCATGTGCTTCGTGGGGGGTTGATGGCGATGGATGGAGGATGGGGAAAGAACATACTCAGAATCAAAAGATCATGGAAACCATCAAAGAATATAAGATAAAGTTCACTGATTGATATGTTTTTTCCCCAATTATGCTTGTGATGTTAAAAGTCAACAGTGTATTCGTAACATCTGCATTTTCTCCTGTGTTGGATGCTGCTTCCCATGCAACTCAAAGTCAACGGTCTGCAGTGACGTCACAGGGGGATCCATTGGAAGAAAGAAGGGAGGTGAAAAGAAATTGTTTTCATAGTTCCCTTGGTGGGGCATCGAGGAGCAAGAGCAGCAGCTCATCACTGCCAGGACTGAGGAGGGAAATTGTTAACCTCAGCCAGGTCTTGCACAGGTGAGCCTTTGAGTGTGTAGGTCAGCTTGATTCTCATCCTAAGTTGTTGCTGTGAATTTGTAGGGGTGGTTAGATCGTGTTATTAAAAAGTAATCTATCAATTGTTGTCAAAGTCTGCTATTTTCCAAATAGATTAAAGTAAGATAATGTTCGTGGGATAAACTCACCTTCTGTGGGTTGAGGACTCTGATGACCTGTGTGACAGATCCCTGGTTGAGTGCTGGGACAATGTTACTGCTAGGGGAGAGGAGCTGCAGCTGGAATGTCTGAAAACAAAGAGAAATAAATAAACAACTTAAGCAATATTACCACAAACATGTAATTTATGATTCAATAGAACAGATGGTTACCATAAAGTAGATAACTTAGAAAAAAGAAAAACATTTAGCGATATTATTGCTTATATCACTTTATGTCTAGACACACAATAACAAAATGGTGAAAAGTCTCTTGTTTGACTTACAGTATGTATGTAAATTATCCTCATCAGAGGCCATTAGACTAATGGTCAACAATAACATAATCCCCAACAGCCCCCTCCAAAAATGTAAAAAATGTAATCCTAGTCAATCCTTAACAATTCTTTAGAATAAAATGTAGTCATTTTTTGCAAAACAATAAATAACAAACAATGTGTTCTGTTTAAAGTAAAAGACAGAAATTAAAGCACATCCACATTGTCAAACATTACACTATATCAACTATATCAGCTATTCCTCAATGGGTGTACTTACCTTTGGTACTGCAGCTTGAAAAACAAAGTCTGTCATGTCTGCCTCAGTGGAGTTGGAAGCATGGATGGTGATGACTGCAATGTTTGGATTGGGGTTGGCTCTCTCAAACGTGAAATCTATTTTAAGACCGTTTTTGTTGTATGCCGTCATGGGAGGGATACCTTTCAGGAGATTTAAGGGAAGAAGAGGGTTAACATATTGAGGTACATGATTCCTACTTGATCCTTTTGATTCATACTCGTTTGGGATGTTGCAGTAACTAACAAACTAAATAATACAGTGCGGTGGAAAATCATGTGTAAGTAAATTACATCTTTATTGTTTAACCGAGTTTGTGTGTTCAGAAGTTTATGTCTACACTAAATGCAAATTTTATTTTCTGTAATCTTGTAGTTACAATATGTGGAAAACTTTTGCAAAACCCAAGAAAAGCAAGTCTTGTGTGTTTATTGGAAGATTATTATGAACTGTTTAGCTCTGCTAAAGTTCAACAGTGCAGAGACAGTGAATATGTAACAGTGTATCAGCAGTCCACCAATTAAGCTTTTTCTATAACTCTGTATCATAACAGATGACAAGCAACTCTTACCTGCAGGAGCAATATCATTAAACAAAGGCTGTGAGGTGAGGCCATCAAGGAGGAAAGCTGGTTGAGTTGAAGATACGGCAGGAGCCGGAGCAGGAGCAGGAGTGGGTGCTGGACCTCCTGTATGTGAATAAGTGACATTCAGAGATTCGAAAAGAAAGACAGTTAATTTTGGGGATTCTTCTCTCATGATATTAAAGCAAGAGCTGACAATACATAAGGACTCATTTTATAAAGAGAGCAACCTACCACCTAGTGAGATGTCACCAAGGAGCTCGAGCAGATCTCCTCCAGCTGAGGCAGGCTTGCTGGGCAAAGTGGTCTGGATTACTGGAACCACATCATTACCACTCAGAAGGTCTAACAAATCGTTAGCCTGAATGACAAAGACAAAATGTGATAAGCACCAGCAGTTATGAGTCAAATCAAAACTGAAAATTAGATAACCAAATATTTTGTAATAGGTAATCATTATAAAGTGTGTTCTGCTTATTATTCGACTTGTTAATATTACTGTCCACCTTTCTCACCGGACTGGTTGGCTGGCTGACAGGTGGTGGATGTTTAGCTTCTACAGCAGAGGGCTCCATCTCCCCATTCGTTTGCACAATCTCTGTTGGACCATTGGTAGCAGTTTTCTCCATTATAGGCATTCGCTCCAGGAGAGCTGGCCTACGTTTCATAAACAGATCAGGGATGAGCAAGAACACACAATTACACCATGCAAAGATTTTTGGAGAGCCCTAACTGCTAAATCATGTTATGTAAATGGAACAGTAAAAGATGCTGTTAAAATAAGGTGGTTTTACCTCATGTGGTCATATTTCTTAAATAAAGCGTTATATTCCACAGCTCTTTGCTGAAGCTCGACATCGATGCTACTGCCATATATCGAAACCACCTTCTTAATTCGGCTAAATATGACAGATGACAAAAAGACAGATGTTATAATTGTTATGTAACAATTTGTCATTTGGTAACACGCCAAGCTTTGTTAAATAACAAAAAAAAAACCCAAACAAACAAACAAAAAACAGTACCAGTACTTACTTTACACCACTGAAGCGCGTTGACAGCTTCATAATAGCAGTTAGAGAATAACCCCGGGTTACAGGTGTGGACAGATTAGATGCCAAAAGTCCCTCCAAAACATCCAGGACTTCATCCTCAGTCACCTTAGTATGAAGAAGTAAAAGTAAAATAATGCAAATCTTTTAGGTGTGGAGTTGGTCATTTTTAAAAATTAATGAATTTTAATCCAGACATACCTGGATTGGTTCCTCTTCTTCACACTGACCAGAAACCAACAGATCTCCATATTCTCCTATACACCAGGATGCCACCTGCACAAGAGGTTGCTGCAGAACACGGAGAAGCAACAATTTAAAAAAAGTATTATATTTGTTTGTATAAATATAAACACTGCAGATATGGCACTAACCCACAAAATAGGTTAAACTGGTCAAATCAAAAATTCTCTAACCTGTGAGATGTCATCAAGCAGTGCTTTGTATAGTCTCTGCACAGTGTACGCATGCATTTCCACACTGTTGGTGATGAGCTGGATGAGGTTAGGAACAGAGTCATCTCTCACGTAGCTTCCTGCCTGTGATAATCAGAAAGAGAGGGAAAAAAAAAGGTTTTTAACATCCTTATGTAAATTAGCAACAAGGCAACCATATTGACAGACAAGAATCAGTGGATTGACGTACTGTTGTCAGAACTCTCATGATGGTGTCTATGTGCCATCGTTTTGAAGGGGCATACCTATAACAGGACACATGCATTGAAACAAATGTACAAGGCAAATCGGTGTAGTGTCTGAAATACATGTCAAACTCAAGGAGACAGGAAGTGAATGCTGTCAGAATACAAATGGTATCACCAGGGTCTAGGAGAGTAGGATTACTCATTTCATTCTCAACATCGGCTGTTTAAAAATCTCATTTCAGAATGATGCAAGTTCAGCTTTGTTATATTCTACAACAAAAGGTAAATAACTTTTCCTCTTGTGCCCCAGACTGACAGGATGCAGGTGAAACATGTTTTTTTTCCTGTGGCTACTTTCTCTTACTCTTTAGAGTTATTCTTTTAAGTAAAGAAATGGAGTACATTTTATTTACTTTTTTGGCCAAACCTTTCCCCTCAGTAAGACAAAACTAAAACCAGACAGTGGGCAGTTGTTCAGAAAAGTGGTTTTGCACTTTAAAAGTAAAGGAATTGGTGAAGGTAAACTGCCAAAAATGTTAGTATACAGGGCCTCCACTGCCATTAAACATTTCATTTAAAAAGACACACACTCAGAACTTGTATACACATAAATACGGAGCTTATTTAAATGTCAATGTTAATCTGTGAACTTGTAAACTCTGCACAGAACAAGGTTACACAGAATCTGTTGAATTACAATAAAGACACTCAACAGTTTCTACACATAATGTGTAATGAATTCATTGCCATACTTTTCTGCAGAGAGAAAGACTCCTGATGCACAGTCTGCTTTGAATTCTGGGTCACAGGAGTCCAGGAAGTAGAGCAGTTCCTTCATCATCCCTCTAACATTGTTGCCATTCACCAGCGCAAAGCTCAGTTCCATTGCCCGTCTTTATTAAAGATAAATAAAAAATAAAAGTAATCAAGGTCAGAATGACACTGTAAGACTGATTCAAGTATTCTCACACTCAAAACAGTGACTCACCTTTTGATGGACACATCCAGGTCTTTTAAACAGTCCACAATAGTGCTTCGATGTCTCTGCACTGCATTGTGGTCTGTTTGTACTGTCTTTAGTAGTGATGTCAATGCCACATATCTGGAGTAGAGTTTATTTCAATAAATCAATAGGAATAAAAAAAACCCACTATCTTATTCATCTCATCAAGGTCAAGTGCTGTTGCTCAACTCCATACCTTATATTTTTGTCATTGTTAAGAAGGAAGCGACCTAGAATGTTAATGGCCAAAACCTGAAAGAACAAAAGAAAAAATGTATTTGTATTAAAAAGTTCACGTTACACACAGTGCCTTATTCTGTGGAGTAGATGGACTTACCCTCAATCCACTCTCTGACTTGATGTCCATAATTGTAAGGACTGTCTCATACAGGATTGCATTTCCTACATTTTTACTTGTTTCTGTGTTTGTGGCCACCTGCAGGTGCGAGGATGCACAGAGTGGGTTTCTGACCCAAAATGGTGAAAGATCGTGGAGGAAAGTAAAGACTAACCTGTGCAAGAATGTCATTCATTGCTTCACTGGAATCATCATCACTTCTGCCTAAAATTCTCAGTAGTCTCAATATTCGCACCTATGCAAAGATAAAAACATATCGCATTTTACATTGTGAACTTTTGGTTTACGTCTATCACAGACCTAACTGAACATAGTTCTGATCACAAACAAACTACATAAATTATCAATATAAAAGCAACATTTGTATTTAAATGCACTTATATATTCAATTATTTTAAAGTCTGACTGTTTTCTGTTTCCATTGAAATAGTATTAATGAGGCTTTAAAGTAAAGAGATATAATGTGTACAAAGTTTGAGTTACCTGCAGGAAAGGGTCACTTATGCCTGACACATCATGTTCAGGAGAGTACCCAGACATGATTAGGTTCTTCAGGATTCTCACCAACTGTGGAACCAGCTAAAAAAGATGAACAGAACACAAAAAGAAGTCAATATATTTGAGTGGAAGTGGTCAAGTGTTTCTACTTGAACGACATTGTTACTCTACAGCTCATCAAGTTAATAAATGTTTAATTAAAGTTACAAATTAAATTTCTGATCATTATATTACAGCTATATGCCTCAAAGTCAGTGATAAAAAAAATCACATTTACTAAAAAAACCTTATATATTAGGTTAGAACATTTGTCTTTTAGAAGAAAAACAATCAGCTTAAAAAAAAGACAGCAGAGAAACAGGAGCTCAAGTCGAAAAAAAATAATAAAAAAATGTTGTGCGTAATTTTTCTAATCAATTACAGAATGCACATAAAACAGGACTGGAGTTGGTAAAATACTTGCTTTGGCCAGCTGGAAGTTTTACTCTTACCCCGATATATTACAGGTCAGACACATTTGTACTTTGTGTAAATTTCAGGGCAGGTCTTCTACACTACTATTGTTGGATAAACAAATCAGTAGGACACCTCTATTTAGACATTCTGTAAAATAAATAAAACATTAATGTTTTTTTTTTTAAGTTATGATCTTTCACAAACCAGTGTCTAAAGACAACAAATTATCAACAACTAAAAAAAGTATCTGCTCTTGTTAAAAATCACCTGTGTTTATAGAGGAAAAACCCACCAAACTGCTTTAAAAATACAGTGATCACATGAGTAACATTTTGGGAGATGACCATTAAAATAAGTGAAAACATACTTGAGTAATGAATCACAAAGTCATTTGTACTTTTTAAAAAAAAAACACTGACAAAGTAAAGATCAATGTGTTAAAGGAATCAAAATGACAAATAAGCACATGGTGATATTACTCAACACAAACTTGGTTACATTTGGGGTGACTGTGATGAGTGATAGCATGCACCAGCTATGAGATCAGAATGTACTCTTACCTTCTCATTCTAACACAATGCAGGAATTGTAACAGACAAATGACAGAAAAAATATGAGGTAGATGTTAGGGAGGGGAAACTGGAAATCATTCACTTTCAGAGAGCTCAAAATTGTGTTCAGATAATGAGAATGACAATTGGTGCTTCTGTCACCATATTTTTTGGCTTCACCTAGAGAAGTAGAGGTACAGCAGCAGTTGAATTAGAAGAGAAAAAGACAGTGGTAGGAGATAAGACATTTGTACATTAAAGTGCAGAGGGAACCTGAGCGCTATACAAAGCTTAAAAGCTTAGTTTGTTTAGCTAGTTCAGTTACAAAAAAGAAATGTGTGTGTGCAAAGGAGAATGAAATGTGACATGAAATGCATAAGTAATTTTGTTTAGGGTTATTTAGAAAATAAAACGTGTTTGCACCTTTCTGAAATGAGCCAGCATGTCAGGACTTCTTTCACACATTTCAGTGAGGAGGACGACTGATGTATGGAGAACACCTGGGAGAACATACACAATAAATGAAATAAGTATAAAATGTATGCATTTGTTATTCTTAACCATTTGTTCATGTAACGTATTTTCAAAAGCAGCTGGAACAAATTTCTGCTGAAATTTAGCAAAATGATGAAAAAAAAGGTTGTGCCAATTTTTTGTAATGGTAGGTTTTTAATTCACAATCTGACAACTGAACTTTTGCAAATTTGGTTCAAAAACAACAAAACAAATGGGGCGAGATGACAAGCAGAGTTTACCAATTTGTTAGATGTAAAGTCTGACAAATCACAAAAGCCAGGACAAAAAGACAGAGGCTAAAATTTAGATACAAGTTATATCTTGTTCATTATTAAATTATCGGATAACATAAAATATACAGGCAGATCATCTACTGATGACCTAAGAAAAGGTGAAAAAAAAAGCTATTAAAAATATCCTTTACGGATTTCTTCTTTTAAATATTAAAAGTCAGAGTTGCAAATTGACTTTGAATTTTATTTTCACAGCATGGCTGTTTATTTCATTCCCAGGACAATGTTTTCTATTTATACATAGGGATGTGAGAACCACACAGTTGATGACAGACTCATTAATTTTGCTGCTCTGTGCAAAGGACATTACAAAAAGGACACAAGCTGTCCAACTATTGTGAACAAAGTGCTGCGAGTGTCAGGGAGAAAAAGTCAAAGTTTGCACTAGTTTAGCACTTGGAGGCAGCATAAGGTTCTTGACAAACCGATTAAAACTCACCATGATTCTTCTCGCTCAGCAGGTTTTTTGTGGCTGGAAGGAACATTTCCATGAGTTCTGGAACCTTTCTGATGACATGAACTGCACACAACGCTGCCTGTAAAATATTTACACAGAGGGAAAAGCTATGAAGAAAAGGGAGACTCGCACAGCATTTCACTACGGTGTACAGTCAAATGTCATACAAATAACCCATCATCTAAGAGCCATTGCTTATGCCTATGAACAGGTCAATAGTAAGTCTTACTTTTTTCCTTAGGTACGAGTTAGATGTTTTGAGAAGCTTCTCCACCTCGCCTGCCAGGTCACGACACATTTCTGAAGAACCCATGCAGCCCAAAGTGCACAAGGCCAAGCCCTGTACATATTGTGTGCTGTGATTTAGGTCACTGGTTTGAGAGGAAAGAGCTTAATTAGTGCCAAAATGTACCATAATAAAAGACAATACTATGGTGACTTTTGTAGAAAACAGCAGCAGCTAGTAAACATTTTGTGTTGTGCCTCTGCAGTACAACAACTGACATATCAAGTATATTTTTCAAAGGAAAATCAACTGCAAAAACTGCAGATCTGCGAGATCGGATAAGCTGAATATTAAATATGTTGTTTACTTACTTCTTAATGCAATTTGTCATGAGTAGGTGAACATCCTGCCTCTCATCCAACAGCAGCATAGCTCCCAAATAACCTATTCGTTTGTCAGTGAATTTCTGGGACGCTATGAGCTTCAGGCATTCCAACTGGTAAAGAAAATTATTTATAACATTACCATCTTTATTATTGTTGATGAAAATATTAAAAAGATTTTCCTGCACACCATCTACCAGATTTCCAGTCCTCAACAGACAGACTCACCTGCCCAAAGTGTGCTGGGTAGCCCAGCATATGCATATAAAGCAGCTTTGCCACATTTCTGCAACGGTATGTATTGTCT